CAGCGGTCAGTGGACTTCCTTGGTCACCGACTCTCCAGATGGGGTGCAGATGGATCCTGGGAAAGTGGCAGCGGTTCGGGAGTGGGCGGCACCTCGGAACCGCAAGGACCTACAGCGATTCCTGGGGTTCGCCAACTATTACCGGACCTTCATTGCAGATTATGCTCATCGCACCACCCCGTTGACCCGGCTACTGCGCCCCAAGACACCATTTTCCTGGGACAAGGAGGCGAAGGAGGCATTTCAGGGGTTGAAAGCCTGTTTCCAGAGAGCGCCGATCTTGCAACATCCTGATCCCTCTCGACCTTTTGTGGTAGAGACTGACGCCTCCAGCACGGCTCTCGGTGCCGTCTTGTCCCAGCAGCGCGGACCTGATGCGCCACTGTTACACTGCGCCTTCTATTCCCGCCAGCTCCTTCCGGCGGAGCGTAACTATACCGTGTGGGAGCGGGAACTACTGGCCATCAAAGTAGCCTTTGAGGTCTGGCACCACCATTTTGAGGGGGCACGACACCCGGTGGAGGTGAGAACCAACCACCGGAACCTGGAGTACCTCCAGACCACCCGCAAGCTGAACCAAAGGCAGATCCGGTGGCCGTTGTTCTTTTCCCGGTTCCAGTTCCGGATCCGCTACATCCCTAGCTCCCAAAACCAGAAGGCGGATGCCCTGTCCCAGAAACCTGAAGACATCGCAGACACGGTACAGCAAGCAGTACCAACCACGATCCTACCACCGGCTGCATTCCTGGCCACTCAGGAGGCTGAGCCACTGCAGGCTCGGGTGCGGGAACAGCAGTGGGTCGACGCTTGGGCCCAGCAACGACTTCAGGAACTGGCCAAAGGGTCATACCCCCAGTATCCGGGGCTGGTCTTGCATCAGGGCCTTCTGCTGCACCACGGTCACCTGTACATCCCGCCAGGGCCACTGTGGGCTGAGGTTCTCTGGATGACCCATGATGCCCCAGCAGCGGGACACTTTGGGCAGTATTGGACCACCCATCTGGTAAGCCGTGAGTTTTGGTGGCCCCGCCTGAAGGCTGACGTAGCCCGCTACGTCACTGGTTGTGACGTCTGCCGGCGGGCCAAGGGTCCTACCGGGCAACCCCCTGGCCTACTTCAGCCATTGCCAGTCCCACCACGTCCTTGGCACATGGTTTCACTGGACTTTGTAGTGGACTTACCCCCGTCTGTACCTGCCTCCTAGTTTTCTCCGACCATTTCACTAAGATGGTGCACTGTGCCCCCTGCCCATCCGTACCCCCAGCTAAGGAAACCGCTCAGCTATACCTTCAGCATGTCTTCCGCCTGCATGGCCTACCTGAGCGTGTGGTGTCCAACCGGGGCGTTCAGTTCACATCCCATTTCTGGCGAGCATTGCACCAGTCCCTCGGGACAGAGGTCTGTCTATCATCAGCCTACCACCCACAGACTGATGGCCAGACGGAACGGGCGAACGCGGTGCTGGAGCAGTACCTCCGGTGTTACTGCAGCTACCAGCAGGATGACTGGGTCGACCACCTAGCATTGGCGGACTTCGCCTACAACAACGCGGTGAACGCGTCCACCCAGCAGACCCCGTTCCAGGCCGGTTACGGTTATCATCCGCGGCTGTTCCCAGATGTGCTGCCGGCATCCGCGGTCCCTGCGGTGACGGAGTGGCTTCAGGAGCTCCAGCCCCAGCAACAGCTATTGATGGAGCAGCTGCGCCAGGCCAAGGAGGCGTACAAGGCCCACCAGGTGGGGCCGGAACTCCACATCGGTGACCTGGTCTGGCTCTCCATTCGCCACCTCCACCCCTCTCGACCTTCGCGGAAGCTGGACGCCCGTTTCACTGGTCCGTTTCCCATTGTGGACCAGGTCTCACCTGTGGCATTCTGTCTCCGGTTGCCCACAACCCTGAAGGTTCACCCGGTATTCCACAGGTCCCTTCTGAGTCCAGTGGCCCCACCCGACGAGTTCCACCCGAACCGTCCCCAACCGCAGCCAGTTTTGGTTCAGGGGGAGCCTGAGTACGAGGTGGAATGCATTCTGGACTCCCGATACCACAGGGGAAAGCTGCAGTATCTCATAGACTGGAAGGGGTATGGACCTGAGGACCGTTCCTGGGAACCAGCAGCCAACGTCCACACGCCTGCCTGCCTAAGAGATTTCCATTCGGCGTACCCCAGCAAGCCGGGTCCAGACCCTCGGTTGAGGGGGGTCCTGGGAGGGGGGATGGTGTGATGGCCTGGGAATCCGATTCAGAGGCTGAACCGGAGGAATCCCAGCCTGCACAGGAGTCCCCGCCTCCAGGGCCAGCTGAGCTGGGGCAGGGCCTTGATTCTGAAGCACCTGCACCTGTGCCGGATCCTCAGGAGCAGGCACCAGGTGAATCCACTCTGGCTCTGGAGGCGATTGAGGACACATTGCCTACAGGTGCGCCTCTTCCAGTCCTGTCAGGGGAAAGTGAGTCTCCCCCAGGGTCCAGTAACCCACCGGCCTCTCCTGAGCTGCAGAGGCTCAGGGCAGAGAGGCGGAGGGAACTGGTTTCTCCCAGGAGGAGTGCTCGTCTTAAGACCAGGAGAGGCGGGTCACCTGGGGGCCGGGACTGCCCCTGGCCTCAGAGAAGATAAAGGCCAGTCAGCCCAGTCCCAGGTTGCGGGAGCAACGTCGTTGAAGAGCTGTTTCGGCCAGCATCCAGTCCTGTTTCCCCAGAGTTCCTGTCCTTGCCCAGCTCCTCGCAGTGGACCCCACTTCGCCTGTGGAGGACTGTCTGCTCGACCCTCGACTCAGGTCCTGGACCTCGCCCCACGGTAACCTCCCCCCTGGACCAGCACACAGGCAGAGAGCAGGGCTGCCCTGGGCAGGAAGAAAGAGGGAGTGGTGCAGAAGGAATCTTGATTTTTTCGGGGGGAAGGGGACCTTTTTGTGTCCACATCTAATCTTGCCCCTTTCTAAACTTTATTTTGTGTGTGTGTGTCTCTCTCTTTTTGTACATCAACCAAAGGATAAAATCAGGATTAAGGGGTTTTCTCAGAATGGTGGAGGGCATCTGTGCTATGTCCTGTTGATGTAATGATGGCAGCACTCACCCTTGCTCTGTGGGGAGGTATCAAAAAATGGTGGGTAAAGGAGGGCTTACCCTCCAACAGTTCTCTGGTGAAAATAGGGACGTCCCATTCCATAATGATAACATGTTTAATGTATTAGAGTATTTTAATATATATTTTTTTTGGAAGCCACCCAGAGTGGCTGGGGAAGCCCAGCCAGATGGGCGGGGTATAAATAATAATTTATTATTATTATTATTATTATTATTATTATTATTATTATTATTACTTTACTATTTAAACCCCACACATCTTACTGGGTTGCTCTAGCCACTCTGGGCAGCTCCTAACATATAAAAAATAATAATAAAACATTAAACATTTTTAAAACCTTCCCTATACAGGTTTGCCTCCATACGGCTCAGGGGTTGGGTAACTCCATACCCTCAAATATTTCTCTGATGGAAACAGAGACATCCTGAATCCTACACTGAGATCTGCTGCCATGGCCTTCAGCACATCAGAACAAGGTTTAATTTTCCTAATGCAGTCAGAAATTTGTGCAGTGATATCCCTTTTTCCTGTAGTACTGTATATGTCATATGAAGATTCCCAGGTGTCCAAGCAAGAAAAAGATGGGAAACAGGATATAAGCAGTCTATTCAAAGTGCTGCTCACTTCCTGGAGATCCACTTTCAGATTTATTTGCAATGCTTTCTGTGCTGTGGCCTACCAAGATACAAGGACCCCCAGGAATGAAGTGGCTGCCAGCCTGGACAGATGTCACTTGGAGAAAAGTAGCCGAGTGGACAGGCATTCTGGCTGCTCCTTGAAAAGCTATCCCTAGTCCAATGTGTCCCTGCAGCATCCTGGGCATGTGTGCAGCCACCCGAGTTTCAGCTCTTGTAATTTAGCCAGTGTTTGGAAAGCGTAATAAGCACCTCTGGATCTAAAGACCACACACACCCCATTTCTGCAAACCTATATTTTCTAGGGTCCAATGATGTTTTGATTTGATGGGTGGCTGGTTGGGAGAGAGGAATACCCTGCTTGGGACATAAGAGCACTCTGTGGGTCTAGGACTATGAGGAGCAGGCAGTGTCTTCAGGAACCAGCACTGAAAATGCTCTGAAGGCATCCACTGGATCATGACAGAATCATAGAACTGTAGATTTGGAAGGGACCCCCCAAGGCCATCTAGTCCAATCCCTTGCAATGGCACATGACCATCCAGCCTTTGTTTAAGAACCTCCAAGAAAGAAGAGTCCACAACCTCTCCCCAGGGAGTCCGTTGCACAGTTGAACAGCTCTTGCTGTCAGAAAGTTCTTCCTGATGTTTAGTTGGTGTTCTGTACTGAGCTGAATCCTAGGATCCAGAATGCAGCAGTCTGATTGGTCCGCAGGAGCCACCCAATCCAGCTCCAGGTGGAATTGAATCAGCGACCTGATTGGCCTTTAGGAGCAGCCAGTAATTAGCCAATCACGCGGGGCCCATTGTGTAAATAATGTATATATAGCTAGACATTTTGGGGAAAGTTTCATTCACTGCTACTACAAGCTGAATAAAGAGCATGAAGTTCACACTCGACTCTGAGTACCGTATATTTCAGTTGGAATCTCCTTTCTTGTAATTTGAATCAGGTCCTAGTCCTGGAGAAAACAAGCATGCTCCCTCTTCCATGTGACAGCCCTTGAGATATTGGAAGATGGCTGCCATATCTCTTCTCAGTCTCCTCTTTTTCAGGCTAAACAAACCCAGCTTCTCATAAGACCTGGTTTCCAGACCCTTTAGCCATCTTGGTCATGATTCACAAGGTGCCCTGAGGTTGAAATTAATCTGATCTAGCCCAGGCTCTACCAGTTCAGCTTCTCAGAAGCATTTTAGAAACTTTCTGCAAAGTTCAGGGAGTTTCCACAGGAAGGCATCATAAGTATAAATTGAGAATCACACAGCCCACAGTTGCAGATCAGCTTTGAAATAACCACATCCTGTTGTGCTGAGCACTTGTCTCTGGCAAAGCGGAGGCTGCTAGGAGGGTGATGGAGGCCTCGAGGGAACAAAGGATGTTCCTTGTGCTGGTCCTCCTGTTCTTGGGCCGAACCGAGCAAGCCACAGAGAGTTCTCCACAGCAAGGTAACCCACTCCCTACGGGCTGGGAGCTCCCTACCCCTGCTGGCTGTCAGGGGTTCTTCAGCTGTGATTTCTGCATTGCAGGGGGTGGGATGAAATGACCCGTTGGGTGCCTTGCGACTCTGAGATTCTATGATTCTAAGAGGATGAATGCAGCAACCTCTAACCCACATTCTACCTGTTCCTCAATACTTTCTGCAATGTTGGGGAACGTCCCCTGAGCTGCAAAAAGCTACATTCAGGTCTTATCAGTTCTTATGGCTGTGAATCCATAGCTTGCTTTCTTTTGTGTCCATAAACAGCTGTTGCACTTATAATGGTAAAACCACAGGGAAATATTTCCTAAAGATTGCCAGTAGGTGGGGCTGGAATGTCAGGCAAGAACAGGGAATGATTTCCACTTAACAACCACTTTCTTTTTGCCCTCGCTGAGTTGGACATAAAATTAACAGGGTGTCGTTGTTGTCAGTGCTTTCTTGTAATAATAATAATAGTAATAATAATTAATAATAATAATAATAATAATAATAATAATAATAGTTTAGGGGTACTCTCATTTTGACTCAAGAAAATCACCATTTTATAGTTCAAATCGGGGGAAATAAATGCAGTAAATGGACAAAAGTACAAAGATTCATAAAAAAATTAGGGGTATGCGTACCCCTGCGTACCCCCAGGAAAAAAGCACTGGTTGTTGTTGTTGTTTTGAGACAAATGTACACGTCTAGGTTAGGGCTGCCTACATATACATTTTTCCACACAAGCAGGCATCAGAAACAGTACAACAGCCTGCCTGATATTAATAAGCAGCAAGTTCCTGCCAGTAGTTGCTGCCATGCCTGAGATCATTTCCTTGCAAGTAAGGAATGAATATTATGTAGCACTTTTTGCAACATACATAAAAGGTTAATATACAAAAATACAATAAATAATGGATGTCCATTGGAACAGTAATTAGCACTAGTATTGTTGAGAGTGGCCTTCAACTAAGTTTTACTCAGAATGGCCCCACTGAGATTAATGGACCTAACTTAGTCATGTTCATTAATTTCAGTGGGTTCACTCTCAGTAAAACTTAGTTGAAAGTCACCTATTACAGTATTTGTTTCATTTATGAATCATTTATGAATCACTGACTGCGTTGCATCTTGAAGCTATTTAACAAATTTTAACAACTTAGTAAAAAATATATGTAAAACAACTGCATGTTTAGAAACGGTAAAAATGATTGCCTGTACCATAAAAACAATTTAAAATCCAATGCAGATACCAACTTCTAATCCGTTCATCCACAGTCACCAGTTAAGAAGTAAATATCTCCTTCCCTCTCCCAACCAAAAATGTCCTGGTGTACTTTCCGACAGGACTAACTGATGAAATACAACCAACTCAGATTGGGTAGCAAAAGTAAAGTGTTCACAAGAACTGTTGGGGTGGTGGTGCTGAATATTAGCCATTCCTGAGCACTGGGCAATTTAACCATTTACTTGAAGGATCACCCAGCCCCAGATGGGACTTCTTGACTGGTTTGATTTGCGGAACTGGCACTATCGAAAGTGTCACATAAAGTTTGTTCTGCACTTGCAAGAAATTTATTTTTTGGTGCAGCAGCAGCTGCACTCTGGAATCCCTGCCTACTAATACAAGGCACATATCTTTGTTGGATTGTTTTTGACGCCTGTCAAAATCCATTTTTTGCATAGGGAAGCCTACCTGGACATGCAATCTTATTATGCACATATGATTTTCATAACTGCTGATTTCATCTGTGCTCTGTTGTTTATCAAAAGCGCACTCTTCTGCTTGTGTGGCTTATTGCCTTTTTTTAACTTAACATTTTCAGGTAAATCGCTTTAGGGCAGGGGCGAGACTAGGCTTTTTTTCACACACCCCCACACATTTGTGTGCACACAAACACACAGGCTGGAAGCCTCAATGGTGCCTCTCTGGAGGCTACACCCGAGGCAAAAATCCTGGCTAGCCACCCCCCACCCTAGCTTGGGGATTATTCTTATTTATTAATTTTAGTTATATATTTATGTTTATAAATAAATGGGCAAACAAATGATCCAGCCCCATTTCAACTGAACGATGTGGCATGGTCTGTGCCTCATGTTGTATGTGTAGAGGTAACTTTGCTGGAGAGGTGTAGGACAGGTTTTGTTTCAGGAAGGTTTGGTGGGCAGTGAACACAGCATGGCTTCCTTCAGAGCAGGGCTGGGCTGGGGACTTAGGCCTGGGGTGGGGGGCGAAATGCAGCTCTCTGGGCCTCATGGATACCCCCCCCCCCAGTCCCAGCTTCCATGAGGCCACATTGCTCACTGGCTTTGCTTCTTGAATGTTTTTGCTTGGCTGGAATGTTTCCTCCATCTCTGAAAATGCCTCTTCCTTCCCTAGATGGGGGGAAAGAGGGAGGGGTGGTAGTGGTGGGGTGTGTGGTGTGTGGTGTGTGGGTATGTGTAGAAACCAGCATATTGCAGTATATAAAAGTGAAATCTGACATTCATTGCTCCATCTACTTTTGCCTGTGGCCTGTGGTTCCGCCCCTGGCAGAACTGTCCAGACTGCGCCCCCAGCCACGGACAAATTAGCTCTTCTTTCCACCTCTCCTCCAACCCTTCCACCCATTCAATTCACCTTCTATTTAAAACAATTTATTATGAGGCAATGATTGATATTGTTATTTATGAACTTATTTTTAGTCGTTTTTGCACCCCCATTGCCTGTGCCCCTGGCGGGAGTCCACCTCACCCCCCCCCCAGCTATGGCCCTGCCTGTGGCCCCACCCACCACTGGGGATTTGGCCCCCAGGGTGTTGCCCTGAATGGAATGTGGCCCTCAGGCTGAAACAAACTTCCCCACCCACATCAAGACTCACTCATGGAAGGTCCTCTCTTGCAGACCTGGAGTGCATCGTCTTCGATTATGAATACATGGACTGTGACTGGGGCAGCAAACAGAAGCCTGCCGGAAACTATTCCCTCTACTACTGGTATGTGCCTTCCTTGCGCCTTGCTTCTCTGCTCTACAGGAACGGCTTTTGTCCAAGCTTCAGCGAATGCACCACCAACCTCTCCCGGCCTTCCTCTTTCTTGGGGAGCTTCTTCCAACCCTGAGTCAGACTACACTGGGGACCAAATTAACAGAACAGCATAAGAAGAGCCCTGCTGGACCCGGTCAGGGGCCCGTCTAGTCCAGCATCCTGTTCTCACAGTGGCCAAGCAAATGCCTGTGGGAAACCAAAAAGCAGGATCTTAGCACAAGAGCAGCACTCTCTCCTTCTGTGGCTTCCAGAAACTGGTATTCTAAAACATCACTGCCTCCAACCATGATGCAGTAGAACATAGTCCTCATGGCTAGTAGTCATCAATAGCCGTCTCCTCAATTAATTTGTCCGGTCCTCTTTCAAAGCCATCCAAGTTTTGCTCTTTTCTCTAAACCAAAAAGTCCCAAATGTTGAAACCTTTCCTCAGAGCAAGGATTCCTCACCTGGGAGAGAGAACAACGGCTGCTGGTTCATTAGGGTGAATTGGGCACTGGCCCTCCAACCTCAGTCTACCTATAGCCAGCCCCTATCTGCCTGCCTTATTACATACCATTCCATTATTATTATTATTATTATTATTATTATTATTATTATTATTTTATTTATAGCCCCTCCATATGACTGGGTTTCCCCAGCAACTCTCGGTGGTTTTCAACACCTATAAAAACATAACTAAACATAAAACAACTTCCCTATCTAGGGCTGCCTTCACATGTCTTCTAAAGGTTGTATAGTTCCCTATCTCTTTGGCTTGGCAGTTGTGTAACTCCATACCCTCCAACATTTCTCCAGTGAAAATGGGGATCTCCTAAGGAAAAGTGGGCTATTCCAGGACCAAAGAAGAAACAGGGGTGGCTTCTGTAAATCCGGTACTGTCTCTGGAAAACAGGGACACTTGGAGGGTCGGTTATTACACACAACCACCCCAAGGGGTGGCCCTGCCTGTCAGCTGCCTCCTCTTAATCTCAGTGTCAGCTTCTGTGCAACACAGCAGGAAAGAGGGCAGAGACAGAACCAGAACAGTGGGCTCTGCCAGTTACTGCCTCTAGCTCTAGCTCCTGTTGGCCTCCCAGCCTTCTGCCCTAGCATAGACACACCCACCCAGGTTAGCTCCTTAGGGTAAATGGGGTTCTGCCCCACCGACACCTGCCCTCATCTCTCTCTTGGAATTTGAGCATCCGTTTTGTAACATTTCCTTGACATCTGGTGGGAGGGCGTTCCACAGGGCAGGCACCACTACCAAGAAGGCCCTCTGCCTGGTTCCCTGTAACCTCACTTCTTGCAGTGAGGGAATCGCCAGAAGGCCCTCAGAGGTAACGATGGAGGTGGAGACGCTCCTTCAGGTATACTGGGCTGAGGCCGTTTAGGGCTTTAAAGGTCAGCACCAACACTTTGAATTCTGCTTGGAAATGTACTGGGAGCCAGTGTAGGTCTTTCAAGACCGGTGTTATATTGTCTCTGCGGCCGCTCCCAGTCACCAGTCTAGCTGCCACATTCTGAATTAGTTATAGTTTCTGGGTCACCTTCAAGCAGCCTGTCCACATCCTCAGAGGTAACAGATTGGAATTAATCCCATGCAATTTGACTAGACAGGAGTCTAGCACTCTCCCACCCTGGCTCTGTACCCACAGTGGAGTCTACCTTTTTTTGAATCTGAGCTACTTTATCTGCAAAAAACCCCTATCTATGGCTTTTAGAAGACATCTGAAGGCAGCCCTGTATCAGGAAATTTTAAAAGTCTAATGTTTTACAATTTTTTATGTGCTGTAAGCCACCCAGAGTGGCTGAGGAAACCCAGCCAGATGGGTGTGGTATAAAAAAATATTAGTATTAGTATTAGTATTCAGAGGCATGTTCCACCTGGGCTAGAAGACAAACAACACAGGGCTGTCCTCAAGGTATTCAGGTTCTGAACTGCAGTTCTCTGATGGTGTTGAAAAGGACTAACCCCAAGCCTCATTTTGTTTAGGTATGAGTCTGACAAAGAAAAGCAGTGTGAGATTTACCTCCAGAGTGGTGATATTAACACTGGATGCCGCTTCCGTGAGATTAAACTGTTTAAATACTTTCACATTTATGTCAACACAAGTGACGGTACGAAGGTTTTCCAAAAAGAAATGCAGTTGCAGAACCAAGGTATAGATTTCCTGCTGAGCCAAACCAACTTGGTGTATTTATAAGTGGGAGCCCTATAGCCCAGGGGTAGGCAACCTAAGGCCCATGGGCCGGATGCGGCCCAATCGCCTTCTCAATCCGGTCCACGGACGGTCCGGGAATCAGTGTGTTGTTACATGAGTAGAATGTGTGTTTTTATTTAAAATGCATCTCTGGGTTATTTGTGGGGCATAGGAATTCGTTCATCCCCCCCCCAAAAAATATAGTCTGGCCCACCACATGGTCTGAGGGATGGTGTACCGGCTGGAAAAGGTTGCTGACCCCTGCTATAGCTGGTGTGTCAGAACAGACTAATTCAGTTCAGTGAAGTTTACTGAATTATCTAAAGATCCCTGAACTATGTAAAGGAGCCCCCTGTAATTGCTGGGTGAATGGAATGTGACTAAATTCATTTGCAGCTAGAACTTTGAACAGTTTCTAAGTTCATCCCCTTACATGTTTTGTTTTTTAAAAACTATTTAAGCTCTTTGGGATTCTTTTACTTGAAGAAATGTAATTGTTGGGCAAAAAATTTAAGCATTTAACTGTAGGTGTTTGTTTTTATGTTAGTCTTGTGAGGTTCAGGTCCACACTTGTAACAGTCTTCTTAAGTGTATTTCATCCTTCAGCACAGCACATTGTAATATTCTCTCTCTCTCTCTCTCTCTCTCTCTCTCTCTCTCTCTCGCCGGGAGTTATTTGGATGACCTCAAACTGTGAACTGGTTATTTTTGTAAAGAAACAAACATGAACAGGAATTAGTTCCTCTTTGGACACGATACACTTGAATTGATTATTATTTTTCAATGAACTTTCCATGCTCTGCCTGCAACACAGGAGAAAAGAGGCCCAAATTCTTCATCCTGTTCTGCTGGGACTCAGAGCTCTTATCTGCATGATCTTATCTGCATTTTCAGAGCTCAGCCCTGATGAAGAGTCCTCATCCTCCACCCACACTTTCCTTTCTGACCTTCGTTCTAGAGATGTATTATGTTGTTTAATCCCACTTCAGATCAGACCTAAGTCACAAAGGGGGGGCTGGAGACTAAATGCGAGCAGGCTGTCCCTTCTCATTGCCAGAGATTCTGGTTTGTTACAAAATAGATGCCCAAACGCCATGCCTAAATGGGCCCAATAAAGCACAATTAAATTGCTGTTAAGGCTTTAAGGCAATTGTGCCTTTAATTAAAAGCTTCCTTTTTGCAGGTTCTTCCTTTTTATCCTGTTCAGTGCAGTTGAGGACTTAATGTTGACGTGCCCCTTAACTGCCTTTAATTTGTAAGCTGGTGTCTCCTGCATAAAGGTAAAGGGACCCCTGACCATTAGGTCTAGTTGTGGATGACTCTAGTTGCGGTGCTCATCTAACTTTACTGGCCGAGGGAGCCGGCGTACAGCTTCCAAGTCATGTGGCCAGCATGACTAAGCCGCTTCTGGTGAACCAGAGCAGCGCACGGAAGTGCTGTTTACCTTCCCGCCGGAGCGGTACCTATTTATCTACTTGCACTTTGACGTGCTTTCGAACTGCTAGGTTTGCAGGAGCAGGGACCAAGCAATGGGAACTCACCCTGTCGCAGGGATTCGAATCGCCGACCTTCTGATCAGCAAGCCCTAGGCTCTGTGGTTTAGACCACAGTGCCACCCACGTCCCACCCGTGTCTCCTGCATAGAGGAGGGCAATTTCACATCCAAAGACAATGTCGACAATTTTGTACCTTTCATATATAAAATAATTTCAAATCTAATTCAGAAATAGACTGGGATCCTTTACCACATAAAATGTTCTTTGAGCTCAGAATCCAAAGAAAGGATAAGTAATGGGATCTTCTGATCTTCCAGATCATGCTGTTTCTCATGAGCATGTGGAACTGCTCTGTGACTAGGCTGCAGATTTAGATCAGAGGTTCCCAAACTTATTTGACCTACCACTGACTTTGCGGGGTGTGTGTGTGTGGAAATCCTACCTTCTTTAAGTGAAGAAACAGAAAGATGTAGTGACAAAATTGCGTTCTTTTATGCATCTATATTTCTGCCTACATCCTAAGATATAGTAAAGAAAGATGTTTTAAATAAGACACCTTGAAGCTTGGAATTCTAAAATCATTTATTAAAACCAACCATAGTAACATTCACATTGCACACTGAAAATTAAGATAACAAAGATAATATTGAAAGACATTATCCCCATCCCACAATGGTGCCCAACCTAGCAGTGAGGGTCATTACGCAACAGATGAATCATGTATGAATGGTTTTTCAAAATGTTCTCTTCTTTATGCTTCCACGGCCCCCTTATTTTTATTCAGTTCCCCCTAATTGCACCCAAGGCTACTGCCTCGCCCCTGGATTGTTCCAGTGCCCCCCGGGGGGGTGGGTGGCATCACCCACTGATTTAGATCCTGATATGAGCCAAGGGAAGTAGAGTGGCTGTTGCATATACACTGTTGCATATTCTCCCTCTCGCATATACACAGATTTCCTTTCTCTCTCCTAGTGAAACCCAGTCCACCCATTGACTTCCGCTTTGAGGAGAAGAGCAACAACCAGCTGCTACTGTCTTGGGGTTCAGCCAGCCCCAAAAACCACTGCTTGGAGCATTATATCACGTATAAAAGCAACAAGGACAAAAAATGGCAGGTACTGGTGTTATCTCAGTTGGGAGGGCTAAGTGCAGATTTGCCTTGACCTTCTGATGTGGAAGCCACAGCCCCCCCCCCATTATAAAATATTGTTATACGGGGGGTTGGGGGTGGGGTGTGTGGCAAGGATCCCTTCAACTCCTGGGTGCTAGATCCTCCCTATAATTCCTGGTTATAGTAAAAGTTGGAATTGATTAATAGAAGGTTTGATTAAGCTGTGCCAAACTCTGCTGGATCTGGCTTAGGCATAGTTAGCTGAGTGTGGTTTATTGGAGGAACAAAACCAATAATGGCAGAGTCATTAGCCCCTCAAGAAAGCCATTAGGAGGGTGGAGACTATGCCAAGCAAGGAAGGGTGGGCCCCTCTTTCAGCTGTGTGTAGTGGGCAGAGAAAAGGGTCAGACATGAATCAGAGGCTGCAGCAATGGAAGGAACAGGACCTGCTTGGGATGTGAATGCTCTGCACTCCCTCCATCTAGGCTCAGGCTGTATATACGAGTAAATAAACCATATACCATAAAGATGCCACAGTCTCCACTGTGTGTCTTTGTCTAAAAGGAAACACAGCCTCTGGTAAGTGCCCCTGGTGCCCCTGGGATCTCACACCACTTGGAGACTGGGGTGGTGTGTGTAACAATACAATTCCTCATTTGGTAAGCATTTCCCAGTTGTGCTCCTTGCCCAAACTAAATCTTCTCTTTTCTTCAGAGCCCAACTCTCATAGGAACAGATTAATCTCTCCCTTTAGGCGTCTCTCTGTTTCTCATTTTTCCTGTCTAAAGTTCAGCTCTTCACCTTTCCTCAGCAGTGTATGGAGACCCATAGCTGCTTCCAGCGAGATTTCAGGGTGGCCCATGGAATCTTGCAGAGTTCTCATGAGATTTCACAGGGCTCTCATGAGATCACTGGTCAGCAAGGCTTCAGCCAGGGTGCACTCAGGGCGGCACTTTCCTGTTTCATCTCAGGCAGCAAAATGTTCTGGGCCGCCCCTTGTGATGGTGAGTTCCATAGTTGTAACTCTCCTCTCTGTGAAGAGGTGCTTTTATTTTGTCCTGGACCTTCCAATGTTCAGCTTCACCAGACAGCCCCAAGTTCTAATATTATATGAGAGGAAGAAAAGATGTGTCCTCTGCACTGCATAATCATATAAACTTGTATCGTGTCTTCTCTTGCCAACTATTTCTCTGAACTAAAAAGCCACAAATGTTGAAACCTTTCCTCACAGAGAATTGCTCCATCCCCTTGATCATTTTACTCAGTTGCGGGGGAAGAGCTGCTGGGTTTCACTTGAGGCTGATTGGGGGAGGCACCAAGGGCGGGGGGGTGCTGCTGCTGCTTTCTGTGCCAAGTGCACATTTACCTCTCTGGCATTCCCTTTCAGGAGGTGAAGACCAATGATATGAAGTACAGCGTAGCCAGTGTGGATCCCAAAAAGCTCTACACGTTCTATGTCAAGTCTAAAGTAAGGTCTGTTTGTGCAACCACAAACTTTTGGAGCGACCCAGCCGGTCCTTTATTCTGGGGGAGAAAAACCACCAGCGAAGGTACAGAAGATCTTTCTTTTATTGTTGGGCAGTCTGTGTTCTGGTATGATGCTGGAATCCACAGAGGATGAATCAGGTATAGGAGACTATGGAGAGGGAGTTCTGACTGAACAAGAGTTGGGAGCAGAATGAACCTCTGTATCCTGACCTCCTCCTTGAGGCTTCACCTCCTTGAAGAGAACAGAGAATCCTTGAAGGGCCCAGCCCTCTAGCCAGGGCTGGATTAACCATTGATCAAAATAAGCACTGCTTAGGGCATCAAGGGAAAGGGGGGGCACCAGAGAAATTTTCCATTGCCGGACTTACCATGGACCATATGGTGCAGCTGGAAAAAAACAAAAGACTCCCACAATAATGAAAAAAAAAACACACACAAAATAATAAAAATAATACTGAAACAATAATAATAGAGGTTAATGATATAGATTGATCCTGGGAATGCAACAAAATTAGAGTCTGCTAACTATGGTAGTAAACTGCCACTCGCTCCACTGAGACTCACATGATCATTCAGAATAGCAGTAACAATGAATTGCACATTTATTCAAAAACCCACTTAAAACTATTTGCTGTAATTAATTCAGCAGAACAGATGAACTTGATCCAGTGATAACGGCTTTTCAAAGTCTGGCAGTCATTTAACAAGAAATCTTAGATGCCACACTGAGTTACTGCTTCATTGCTCAGTCCATTCATAATGCGATGGATGGGCTTGATGATGGGGTGCCAGTTTCCCAATGCCTGATTCAAAGCCATAGTAGAATCATAGAATGGTAGAGTTGGAAGGGATAGCTCAGCTGGTAGAGTATGAGACTCTTAATCTCAGGGTTGTGGGTTCGAGCCCCATGTTGGGGAAAAGATTCCTGCATTTCAGGGAGTTGGACTAAAATGACGCTCATGGTCTCTTGAGACTCTGCAATTCTATGATTCTATGCAGGAAAGTCACTTAGCAGGAATCTTAAACCATCACCTTCCCTGCTACCCCCTGAGTGAGTTGTGCTGGTTGCTGATTTGCTATAGGGTAAGGTTCAAGGCCATTTTCCTGATTCAAAAAGCCCTTAGCAACTTGGTCCCAAAGGACCTTAAAGGCTCACTGATTTCTTACACTCTACTTCAACCACTGAGATCTTCCTGGTGGTTCCAGAAGCCCTGTGCTCTTGTTGGCCTTAGCCAGAGACCAAGCCTTTGGTGTGGCAGGCCATGCCCTGTGGAACTCCCTGCCAATAGAGGTTCGGCAGAAACAATCCCTGCCTTCTTTAAGATATCCCCTGAAAACTATATTGTTTAGATAAGTCTTTGTAATAAGAATTTCTCTTTTTAACCCACCAGCATTTATTGATGTGTTTAGTGATGCTTTAAGTGACATCTTTCTGAATTTATTATAACTTTGTACGTTGTATATCGCCTTGCTCTATATTTATGGAAGTGCAGATTATAAATCATTTAGTTACCTGGAAACTGAGGTTTCTACAACTAAAATGGATTAAAGTGCCTAGCACAACAAATCCATGTTTTTTCCTTTTGAAAAAAAAAATATACCGTATGTTTCTGTGTATAAGACATGGGGTTTTTTAAACCAAAAATTAGGTTTAAAATTGGGGCTCGTCTTATACACGGGTAGTGCTGAGGGGTGTTTTCTTAATTTGGAGTCCCCAAAAATAGGGGGCGTTTGGGAAGGTGATTGGGAAATGCATCATAAAGTGAGAAAATTGTTAATGGGAAAATGTCTAAGAGATATAAAGACAGTGCAAGCAAGTCAGGGTGAAAGCAAGATGAGTGATTTTTGCCATATGACTTCCCTGCGAATAAATAGGAATAAATGCTTAATAAAGCCCAGATGTAATCTAACCTCCAAGGAAGCTTTGTGAAAGTGAATCATGACAAATGCTGATTAAACAGGTTGTCTGGAGAAGCCCCTAAAGTTGCTGGAAACTGTAGCAGCTGAACTTGCAGATACACACACACACACACACACACACACACCCTAAACAGGATTGTTCCATAAAAAGAAATATTTATAATCATTCAACCCTTCCACTCATCTTATAAAATGCAGTTTGAAAAATAATGGGTGGGAGAATTAAAGAGATCTGATATTGCTTGCTTCTCCATGGGGGCGATGAGCTGAGAAAGATGTAGGGAGGGGGAGGCCTTTTTCCGAGGGGTGTTTCACAAATATAAAAACAACCGCTGTTTCAATTCTAATTCAAAACAGTGGATTCTGAAGGGCTTTTCAAAAGTATGCAGTACTGCCCTCTACTGGGCACTATGGGGCCTGCAACTTCTAAGATCCATGTTTGAGATTAAAAGTGCTTCCAGATGCTCTTGTTTATAGAGCTTTTGAGTTTGGTTTGGTTTTGCAAGGAGGTAATAATAATAATAATACTTTTATTATTTGTACCCCACCCATCTGACTAGGGACTCAGCTATACAGCTGCAAATATAATGTTTTAAGTGCATTATACAAATGTGACACTAGATGGCAATGGTGAGCTTAATGACAAATTCAATGCACTTTTAAAAAAAGAATTTTCACAGCTTTTATATATGTCTGTGTGTCTAGATTCTACCTGGGTTGCCCCAGCCACTCTGGAGGGCTTCCAGCATGTATTAAAACATAGTAAAACATTTAAAAACTTCCCTAAATAATAATACAGTGGTGCCTCGCAAGACGAAATTAATCCGTTCCGCGAGAGTCTTCGTCTAGCGGTTTTGTCGTCTTGCGAAGCAACCCTATTAGCGGCTTAACGGATTAGCGCTATTAGCGGTTTAGCGGCTATTAAAGGCTTAAAGGCTTAGCGGATTAGCTGCTAAAAGGCTATTAAAGGCTATTAAAGGCTTAGCAGATTAGATAAAGGGGGCGAAAAGCGGAAAAAAAAATCTCAAGACTTGCAAGACATTTTCGTCTTGCGAAGCAAGCCCATAGGGAAATTCGTCCTGCGAAGCAACTCAAAAATGGAAAACCCTTTCGTCTAGCGGGTTTTCCGTCTTGCGAGGCATTCGTCTTGCGGGGCACCACTGTATAAGTCAAGTTATAAGTCAAGCCACTGCCATCTCAAAAAACGTCCAATCTTTAGGGGAAGGCGAAAACGGTTTTGTTGAGCAAGAGCCCCAAATCAGATTTAATAATTGTGCAACCTAAACTTTGCAGTAGGTGATGGAGTCCCACCTTGAAAGAGTCTGCAAGTGCTCCCAACAAATGACAGATCCCTAGGATGCCTCCTTGTTGGCTGAGGCCCACCTGCAAGCTGCAGCAGTGGGACATGGCCTACCTTTCTGGAGCAACTGCAGAGAGACACCTCTGTTTCCCTAGCGGCACTTGGCTTTAAGCCAGAAATTGGGCAGGAAAGCTGTGGGACCGGAGTTTTCAGAGGCCTGTATTGCTGTGTTTGACTGGCTACCCAGCCCCTCCAGGAACAACACAGCCTCCAACATTCCTTGGATGAGAATAAGGACATTCTATTTTACATCAGCATCACTGATTGAGTATCTTCTCTTGGTCAGGTACAAAAGTTATTTAAGGATACATACAAAACTGTGGAATTTAGGGGAGCCTGAGGGAAGAAGAAAACCCCCAATCAGTAAATACAACTAGCTAGCAGTGATACTGATGTAGAACAGAAGCTACTTCCCTCTTTTCATCTGAGGAATGTTGGATGGTATGGAACAATGTCCCTCGTCTAGGCAGCTCCAGTGACCTAGGGAAGGTAGGGAGAGGCAATGTGAGGCTATTCCTCTTTCTCTGGGGCATGCTTTCTAACGCCCAGGCTTGTCTCACTCAGATGACCCTCCGGTCTCAATCTGGATACAGAGAATCATCATCCCTGTAGGTTCTGTCCTCCTCCTGCTTCTCCTCCTCTTGATCCTAATGCGCATGGAGAGGTAAGTTGAGCAATCAGACTAGACCCATGGCTGACTTTGCTTTGTGGGACATGGGGGGACAGCCTAGCTGGCAACTGGGAACAGCTCACCAGTAAAGACGGTTGGTTTCCCCATGCTTGCTCTCTCATCTCTGTTCTATCCAAAATGGCTCAGAAGGTGAATGATGTTCTGTGACAAGCAAATGTTGGCAACTGAGGATCATGGATGGCTATCATCCAGATCCCCACGTTTCAGAGGCCATTAGCTGCTAGTGCCTCTGCTGGGAGCTCCGGGATTGGCTTGAACAACTGAGCAGCCTTTCCCAAACCTGATGCCCTCCATATACAGTGGTGCCCCGCAAGACGAATGCCTCGCAAGACGGAAAAACCGCTAGACGAAAGGGTTTTCCGTTTTGAAGTTGCTTCACAGGACGAATTCCCCTATGGGCTTGCTTCGCAAGACGAAAATACCTTGCGAGTCTTGAGGTTTTTTTTCCGCTTTTCCCCCCCTTTATCTAATCTGCTAAGCCTTTAATAGCCTTTAATAGCCTTTTAGCAGCTAACCCCTAAGCCTTTAAGCCTTTAATCGCCGCTAAACCGCTAATAGCGCTATTAGCGCTAATCCGTCAATGGGCTTGCTTCGCAAGACGAAAAAACCGCTAGACGAAGACTCTCGCGGAACGGATTAATTTCGTCTTGCGAGGCACCACTGTATTTTGGACTACAACTCCCATCATCCCTAGCTAACACCAGGGTGGTGGGAGCTGAAGTCTGAAGTATCTAGAAGGCCCCAGTTTGTGGAAGGTCCCAGTAGGGGAACTGACCATGTCATCTGTCATCAAGGACAATCAGCAGCAGCAACAGCAGCTGAACAACAGATGGAGGGGGGTGTACAGTACTTCAGATTTCTTGGCACGGTTTCAAAAGCATTTTAAGAGCAAACAAAAATGAGCCTTAAAAAATAATGTGCCACAAAAAACAAATTTCATTTTGAGTGTTTTTGCTGCAGACCGAAGGCTAGTTTAAAAAGAAAAACTGGTGCTTGCAGAGCACTGACTTCACTGCTAGCAGCAGAGAAAAAGGGCTTGTCAGTTTGCTCTGTTGCCGCTCAGCCAGAATGATTTTCAGTACACGATGAGGTCACTTTTTCCATACACATCTCATCACAGACTGAAAACCAATCCAGCTCTATGACGGAACACAGTTCACTGAGTGGCCAGGACTGACTTTTATGAATGAGCCCCACAAATAAGGCTGATGTTCTTGGAAAGATCAACAGTGCCACCTTGCTGGGGATGGTCGTTGGTTTGGCTCTCCAGGCAACATTCCCTTAGAGGGAGAACTCTTTGCAATTCTGGGCCTAGTATCTCTCAGAACAATAAAGAGAAGACCCCCACCTCTAATCAATTTAACTTCCCCACAGAGTTTGGCTGGTACTGATGCCCAGGATTCCCAACCCCAGGAATAAATTTGAAGATCTTTTTACTGCGCACCAAGGCAATTTCTCGGTAAGAAACTGGGCTATGTAGACTCTATCCTCTTGAAATAATCTCCCAGGTCAGAAGCCCTGCCCCACATGACTATAACATTGCTAGGAAAGGGGCAAGGGGCATGCCTCTGCCCCAGATATTTTTTTCAGTGCTGCAAGTGTTTCTGAGTGGGTGAATGATTTTGGGAGCAATTTTATTGTGGGTGATCTTGGCTAGGATATTAATTTGGGGAAAACATTAATTTAAGGACACATTACCTATTTATGATTTGGGGAGGTAATCAGGGGTAATTTAAAGGTAAATTGGATTTATTTGGACAGGTTCTGTTGGGAAATCAATTGGGGGGGGGTTAAAGGAATTAAAATGCACTGTCCCAGGGAGGAGTGAAACTTAATTGAAGAACATGCCTGTGATCATTTAGATGGGAAATTTGGTAGCTTGCGTTCTGCAACATTTGAAGTCAGAATTTGCATCTCTGCATAGAGAGATGGTAAAATGCCTGCAGAGGACTGACTTGGCCAAGCCTCAGATAACTGGAGGCTCTAAGGCTTGCAGAATCTCAGAGTCTAGTTTTGCAAGCATACTGTCTGTGCACAACTATATCTCTACATTGTGGGTGGCATAGAAAGGCAGAAGAAGATCAGTGCTTTTGTCTTTTCTGGGCCATCACTTGAGCAAGTGAAGAAACTGCCCAGCCCAGAAGGAAAGCCATGGAGGCAGGCATAGCAGAGTGGGTTACCTCATTTCATTCTCAACATTTTCTTTCCCTGCAGGAATGGGCAGGTGTCTCCAAGGATGCAGTGGAGAGCTTCAAGCCCAACTATCGCGAAAGCATTTGCTGTGTCAGCGAGCTGTTCCCTGGTGGGGGCTATTTACCCATCTGCAACAATGCCATGGGCAAGGCTGGAGGAGTGGCTGGCATTCCTGCAGACCCTACCCTCAAGGTCAACATCGAGTAGGGCCCGTGGAACAGCCACTTGTGGGTCTGTCATGCTCCCTGGCTAGGAGCTTCTGAGGCTATTGCCCGTCTTTGTAGAGAACCTTCCCCCAAAAGCATTGACCCCTTAGAAATCCTTGATCCCTCAGCCAGCCCATCTATAGATACAGCCCTGCCAAGTGTTCTCTTACGTCTGCAGGCTTAGGAACAGGGTTTAAGGTCCTTCTTTCTCCAGCACTTGCCCTTTTCCACCCCTTATCTTTCCTCTGCTTGGCCTCCAAGCTGCTTTTGTTTTCAGTTTAGCTTATTTGGTGCTAACAGCACATTTGCACAGTATGTCCAAAACACACTCATCACACATTTGAAGCACATAACTTTCCCCCCCAAAATACTGCGAACTGTGGTTTCCCCTGCACAGAGCTATACAAACTATAGCTTCCATGATTCTTAAGGGGGAAGTAGTGTGCTGTTAATGTATGTTGTGGATCAACCCCTCTAGCCCTCAGGTACATTGTAGGGTTATCAAGTCTTCCACAGTATACATAATATTCACAATATGCATGCACACAAATTGTGCCTTATGAAGTAAGAATATAACAAAACAGGTGAATGCTCAGAAGCAGTTGGAAAATGCATAGTTTTAACTCTGAATTCATCTTCCCTTTAATCGCTTTGGCCTGGTTTTGATGGCTATGGAGAAGAACTTGGCCACATTTTCTGTACATACCACACATTTAAAGCACATGCTTTCCCACAAAGAATCCTGGGAACTAGTTTCTTATGGGTGCTGGGGTGGAGGTAATTACAGTTCCCAGAATTTTTTTTGCAGAAAGCCATGTGCTTTGGATGTGCTTTCGGTTTATAGTGTCTCTGCAGCCTTAGGTTTGGAGTTGGCCGTTAAAAAAAGAAAGAGAGAATTCTCCAGAGGCTGTGTATGAACACTGTACCTTTGAAGCACATTCGAAGCTCATTCTTTCCCTCAAAGAATTCTGGGCATTGTAGTTTGTTTAGGGTTACTGGGAGTTGTATCTCTGTGAGGGGTAAACTACAGTGCCAAGAATTCTTTGAGGGAAAGAATATGCTTTGAATGTCCTTTCAAGATATAATGTGTAGAGGAATTATTGAGAAGATAAATTGGGATCTTTTAGTCCTATAAAATATGGAGGATAGAATAACATGTGGATAAGACACTGACATAGCAGCTTTGGTGAGGGAAAACTCTCAGGCGTCATCTGTTTCTATTCCAACCCATGAAATTTCTGTTGTCCTTCTTCCTGCTGTGCACCGCTGCTTCTGCTTCCTCTGATGACCATATGCAGACACATCACTATTATGCCTAATAAAAAGGATTGATTTGCCTCATTATTTCTCTCTGGCGCATCCTTACAGTCCTGCTACTCATATAACTATGCAGCCCAGGGTGGCATTAAGGCTGTGTTCACATGTTTACTATCCATCCAGTGCACTCCCACCACTGGTCTGGGAAGCAATTGTAGGCTGCCATCTGTCTTGAGAGACAATTGAGTGTGCCTCTGTGTGTGAAGCCAAACGACTGCTTTAGTGACATGAAAGAGACCTCCCTGGAGCACAAGCCTGGGCAGTGGGTATGGAAGTGCCGGGCTGCCCATCACTTGGGCTTGGAGGAGGGTGGGGGAACTTGAATGTGGCCTGAAGAGAAGTCCACTGTTATGTACCAAGCTTGGATCCTAGAACAATAGGTAGGTAGGATCCTAGAATGCAACAACTGATTGGCCTGCAGGAGAAGACCAATCAGGCTCCAGGAGGGAAGCAGAATCAGCCAGTCAGACGGGACTCATTGTGTAAATAATGTATATAAAAGCCTGAGGTTTGGGGGACAATTCAATCACTGTTTTACAAGCTGCAATAAAGAGCATGAAATCACTGCAGGACTCCGAGTATATTTCATCCACCCTCTCACCTGCAGGCCATATCTGGTCATGATGATTCTCCAAGTGATGATTCTTTGCTGGCATCGCCCACATTCTCCAGGTCCACGGCCCCATCCTGCTTGCAAGCAGAGAGCAAGTTCAGCTCATGACACTCCTGGATATCTGAAAAACAGGCCAAGAGAGATGTGGATGCAATAGTTTGAAACAGTTGCTGCAGCAGCCACGGGGAATTCTTAACATGTCATGGGCAGGGTGACCGAGCAGGGAGTGTCAGCATAGCAAGCAAAGTGAGCAACAGCAAGCTCAGTGAGATTTGCCCACAAGGCCTTGAGTGGAGTTCAGCAGCAATGTGTTGCTAACTTCTTTTTTCCATTCTGCTCAGAGCCAGAGGAAGACAGCATCATTCCTGCCCTACAGGAAGGAGTTGCCAACAGCAGAGGTCAACATTTGCTCTTTAAAGTTGTTGCTGGCATCTGTCTGTCTCGAGAGACAATGGAGTGCACCTCCAGGGGTGAAATCAAATTGAAGTGTCCTCCCTGGCCCACAAGTTTGGGCAGTGTCCCAGGCCATCCAGACAACAAGATGCACCTGCCAGCTTCACTGATGTGGTCCAAAGCAAAACAGAGCAATACGTTTGGGACCCGCTTGGCTGCAGGAGTTGCCAGAAGGAGGTGTACAAGGCCCGATCCAACCATCTTAGGGACTCCACTCTGGATTTGTGTAGGGTTTACTCCTTAGCCCTTTCTTCTCCTGAATGTATCCCACAAGCCAGTGGAGGTTTAGAATCTGAGTTTTCATTCTTCTACATGGGTTACCTTCCCAGGTGGACAAGCCCCACCTGCCCCCTTGTTTCCCTCTACAGCACGTGCAAAAGCTGCCTTCTTGACCATTGGACCCACGGTTGGTCTGATCCTCTCAGTATGCTGGAGCCTGTCTTCACATGCAGGGAAGTCCCTAACACACCGATGGTTTGACCCACTGACTTCCCTCACCTGGTTTAGCCGGCCAGTCAAAGCCATTCCCAGGATTGTGGCTGCTGTCTCATTCTGACAGCTTCTAGGAGCCGCAAGTGAGAGGGTGGGGACCAAAGGGTAGCACACCAGAAGGAGCACAACATGTCCGCTCTATTCTGTATCTAGTCCTTTGTTTCTTATGAAATACTGCATCTTGATGTGCCTCCCCTCAAAACTAGCTTCAATTGAGAAAAAGGAACTACCTAGCTGTGTTTTAAGCCACCAATACACAGGCAGCCTAAGACACATTTCCTTTTCTAGTGGGGATCTCTAGTTGTGATCTTTCCCTGCAGTTAAGAACATTGCCAAATTACATGGGAAGAGCCATAGCTCCCCGGTATAACTCCTGGTTTGAGCGCAGAAGGTGCCCTGTCCAATCCTTGGCATCTCCAGGTAGGGCTGAGTGAGATCCCTGTCTGAAACCTTGGAGAACTGCTGCCGGTCATAGCAGACAATATTGGACCAAAGAGTCTGATTCATTATAAGGCAACTTCCTATGTTCCATTCCTGAGCTTCTGCATCTGGACACATTTTTACCTTTTGAACTGGCTTGTCCTAGATAAATGTCACCACCAGTTTTCACTAATTGCAGAATTGAGGTCAACATTTATACTGCTGTCCAAAACAGAGGGGTTTTTTAAAAATAATTGATTGGATTCTTAACTGTATAGATAACAAACAGAAAATATGAAGTCAACATAGAACATCCCCCCATCCGCCATAAGAAAACAGGAGATCTGGAGCATTGGCTCCATATGTAAGGAAGTCATACATCAATGGGAGGGGAGGATAAGTACAAATACAAGAATAGAAGCTGGACCTTGACAGAAGACCATAAGAAGATCATGCAAGCCAAATCGTTCTTGCGGTTTCTCACAGATGTTCTTTTCTGTGATTAGAGGTATACATTGCTACAAAAGTTGGGCACCACCCCCACCCCGACTCTCGGCCGAGCAGCAGCAAGATTTCAGAGGGTTCCAAGCACTCACCCAGGGTCTGTGCTCCTTTGGAGAATCACAGAATTGTAGATTTGGAAGGGATCATGAGGGGCATCTAGTCCAACCCCCTGCAATGCAGGAATCTTTTGCCTAACATGGGGCTCAAACCCACAACCCTGAGATTAAAAGTCTCATGCTCTACCAACTGAGCAATTTGAAGAACTGAAGACACAGCAGAAACTCCTGCTTTAAGAAATATGGTTTATTGACCTATATACACCTTCAGTCTGCATGGAGAGAGTCCAGATCTTACAGCATGGTCCTTTCAAGAGGGGCTTGTACTTCATAGCAGAACAGCACTGGAGTCCAAGTCATCTCTCCTAACCAGACTTCAGCCAACCTTCCCAAAATGGATCTCAGTTTTGGCCTCTTTCTGCTTCTTCCCAGCATACCTTGCTCTGAAGACTCTTCTCCTGTCACCTTTCACCCAGTTACTCTGGGAACCTTCTGTCTGCCCAGGCCCAAGATTCCTCTTACAAGGGCCATCAACACTTTTTGTCACATTAACTCCTTTACCCCAGGTGAGGCCCTGTCTTGGAAAGAAAGCTTTGCCTGTATTTTCCCTCCTGCCTGCAATCTTCCCTTCAATACTCCATCTAACCAAAATCTTGTTGTTGTTGTTTAGTCATTTAGTCGTGTCCGACTCTTCATGACCCCATGGACCAGAGCACGCCAGGCACTCCTGTCTTCCACTGCCTCCTGCAGTTTGGTCAAACTCATGCTGGTAGCTTCGAGAACACTGTCCAACCATCTCGTCCTCCATCGTTCCCTTCTTCTTGTGCCCTCAATCTTTCCCAACATCAGGGTCTTTTCCAGGGAGTCTTCTCTTCTCATGAGGTGGCCAAAGTATTGGAGCCTCAGCTTCATGATCTGTCCTTCCAGTGAGCACTCAGGGCTGATTTCCTTAAGAATGGATAGGTTTGATCTTCTTGCAGTCCATGGGACTCTCAAGAGTCTCCTCCAGCACCAGAATTCAAAAGCATCCATTCTTCGGTGATCAGCCTTCTTTATGGTCCAGCTCTCACTGGGAAAACCATAGCTTTAGCTATATGGACCTTTGTTGGCAAGGTGATGTCTCTGCTTTTTAAGATGCTGTCTAGGTTTGTCATTGCTTTTCTCCCAAGAAGCAGGCGTCTTTTAATTTCGTGGCTGATGATACTCTGGTTTCTCTTCAGATCGTATAAATCTTTCACCTTTTTATTAATTTCGTGGCTGATGTCACCATCTGCAGTGATCATGGAGCCCAAGAAAGTAAAATCTCTTACTGCCTCCATTTCTTCCCCTTCTATTTGCCAGGAGGTGATGGGCCCAGTGGCCATGATCTTAGTTTTTTTGATGTTGAGCTTCAGACCATATTTTGCGCTCTCCTCTTTCACCCTCATTAAAAGGTTCTTTAATCCATGAATACTGGTCAATTTCAGTTTCTTCAGCACCAGTAGTTGGTGCATAAACCAAAATCCTACCATTTATCAATTTCTAGGGTTTGGGGGGTGTCCCCCAATATTTAATAAAATAACAAGGTCCCACCGTATTATACTAACAGGCAGTGGCTGTTCTTTACGCTGCCATGAATGTAGATTGTGGGTAATCGTTTCTAAAATTGCATTGTTCCAAATCTTTTTATACTGTGCTTGCAAGGACAGATTGCTCAAAAGTTTGTGTTGTTGTACTACCGTTTGCCTAGCAGCAATAAACAAGAATGTCAAAAAGTTCTTTACAGGAACTACCATGAGGCAGAGTGAGGCAACTGCCTCAGGTGGCAAATGTTGAGGGGCAATGAGTGGAGAGAGCTCTGTGCATGCATCCCATGAAGCATCTCCTGCACACAGTAAACTACTAGGCCATTGCCCTTGGGGTGCAATAGGGGCTTTTGTACATGGAATGGGACTGGGAGGAGGAGGCAACTTTTGCCCTTTGCTTCAGGCAGTGAAACCCCTTGGACATTTGAAGGACCCCTGGTTCCTTCAAATGTAAGGATAATATAAACAAATACGGGGAGTAAACAATAGTTTATGTAACTGATGCAGAAAGCTCTTTCTGGACCAGTGTCCAAAATTTACTTACACCAGGACATTCCACCATAGGTAGAAATAAGTGTCTTTCAGGGCACAGCCTCTCCAACAATTGGGACTGTAGGCTGGGTTGATATATTTTAATTGTGTGGGAGTTCTATACTGAATATTGTTCTGAAATGTCTTGCTCAAATCTGTTTTGTATGAACATGTTGCAGATGCATTCAAGAAATGATTCAGGGGGACTTCCGGGGTGGCGCCATCGGTAATGGCGGATTCCCTCTGACTCCGAGGGGACCGGCTCTGCAGGAATCGGGTCTGCACCGCTACGACGAAGCGGGGACCCTTCAAAAATCACAGGTGGGTGAAGCCTGTGACCGTGGGACTCGGCGGGCACCTTTTGCGCCCCCCCAACTTGCAAAGGAGCCCGACTACGGGTTCCGGAGTGAAGCGGGGCAGCGGTGCGGTGCTGTGAGTCAACTGCTTCTTCCGTGGAGCGAAGCCGCACAGCCGTTACCGGAGAGCGCTACCTTTTTCCTGTGACAATTTGGCTACAAAACAACGATCCGTGAGTAGGTTAATTCGGGAAATAAAGGAGGAAAAAAAGAAGTAATTGGATACCGAAGCGGAGAGGCATAAACAGGAAGTCTGCCTTCCGTTCTTTGTAAATAGAGGAAAGCAATGAACTTGTAAGCTAAAACTTTGAAAGACGCTTGAAAAAGACTATAATTCTATCATCTAAAACAAGCGATTTCCCCCCTTGACTGCAGGAGAGAAGGGGGGAAAGGTCTGAACTGTATTTTCCTGTAAAAGAGAGAAAAGGAAGCTAAGAATCCACCGCTTAAACCTGGGAACGGACTGCCAATGAAAAATAGAATGCCATACTGTGAAATGCGCTGTTGGTGAAAGTACTTTTTGACAGCTAACTCCGCAAGTCTGTTACAAGTGAGATACAATATTTCTGGCTGGCTTCCCTTGGTTTCAAAGTAACTGGAAAATAACTGAAATTAAAACTGTCGTCTATTTTGTGAGCTGGGGGATTAAAAGAAAAAGGACATTTATTTTAAAGTAACAACTGTTGCCTGTTACTGTGTCCCCCTAGAGGAAGTTTGAGATTGTTACAATAACAACTGGGCCAGGGGAGTTTTCCACTTCATAACAAACTCTGATCGTGGGACTGACCTTGAGTATTATCTAGACTGTTATGGCAAATGGAAAAGAGAAAATAGATTTGCTTCAGGAAAAAGCAACGAGGTCTGGTAGAGTGTTTCGCACAGACGTTGGGCTGCAGCGAAGAGCATCAACATCTGGCCCTCCTGGTTTACCAACAGGAGCTGCATTGGTACAATCTAAACCCAAAGGAATGGCATCCGAAGATGTTTTAGCTCAGGCACTTGGCAAAATTAATGAATCTTTGGAAAAATTAAGTAAACAAGTAGCTGAAGCATCAAATAAAATTGATCAAAATACCACAAGCATTAACAATTTGGGACAGAAGGTAAATACTAACATAGAAACTATTGAGAAATTGCTACAGGAATCTACTTCGACCCGAAAGACAGCTGAAGAAGCAAAGGAAATAGCAGTTGCTGTAGAAGAGAAGTTACCACCGATACACAAGCAACTTGAAGACCATAGGTCAATACTGTCTATGATTGAATTGAAGGAGAAGCAAACGAATTTAAGAATCAGGGCTGTACCTGAACTTGAGAAAGACAACTTGATTGATTTTCTTACGCAGGAATTTGCAGACTTTTGGAACCCACGTTTGGAGAAGGATAACTTCAAGATAGTGAGTGCTTTTAGGCTTGGAAGAGGAGGGAAGAAGAACAGGGTGAGAGACTGTTTGATCACCCTCCGAACAAAAGAGGAGAGAGACAAAATCTTGAGTCTGCACTTCCAGAAGACTTTGGAAATACACCAGTCAAAAGTGCAGATATTTAAGGACATTCCGAAATATCTTTTTGACCTTAGGTCCAATTACAGAGATTTGGTTGCCCTGCTGAGAAACAACAAAATCATCTTTAGGTGGGAAGTCTCCCAAGGCCTTTCTTTTAGCTTCAAAGGAAGAAAGATAAAAATAAGATCAGAGGACGACAAAGTAAGATTTTTGAGAGACCACGGTGAAGACCTGCAGAAAGAAGCTGAAGAAGAGCCAGGAATACTAGAAAGAGGAACTTTAGACATACCAAAACTACCTTTTGAATTAAGAGACCACCTGGAGAAGGTGATACCACCTACAGAACAGGAACAAGCACTTGGTACAGTTGGAGGAGAAGTAAAGTAACTACATCATGGCTCTGCAACTACTAAGCTGGAATTGTAACGGTATGAACTCCCCTCAGAAAAGGAAATCTGTGTTTCATTTACTAAACAAGGAACAATTGGACTTGATTTGTTTACAGGAAACACATGTAACAAGGCTACACAGGAAAGTATTGATCAATAAAAGACTGGGCCAGGAATTTATCTCTTCGGATAAAGTTAAAAAAAGAGGAGTAGTGATTTATGCAAAGGAGAGACTATTACCGAAATTTATCTTTAAAGATGACCAAGGAAGATTTGTGGCAATTGAAATTCAAATACAATGAGAGAAATTTTTAATAGTAGGAGTTTATGCACCAAATGAGGGGAAATCTGAATTCTTTAAAAAGCTGCATGAGACCTTGATGGACTACTTGGACTATAATGTGATTTTGATGGGAGATATGAACGGAGTGGTATCTACACACATGGACAAGGCACAAAGACAGGTAGTCACTAAGGATGGTAGACTACCGAAAACCTTTTTTGAGATGACAGACAACTTGGACTTAGTCGATATTTGGAGAACAAAGAATCCCTTGGCTAGAGAGGGAACCTTCTTCTCTGAAGCCAAACTGACATGGACGAGAATTGACCAAATATGGGTAACTAGAGGAATGGCACCAAAGATAAGAAAAGTGGAAATCTGCCCAAAAACCTGCTCCAACCATAATGCTGTTAAGATGGAAATGAAACTAACACCAACTGGTTCCTTCAGATGGAGGATGAATGACACCTTATTTAGAGATGAAGAAGTGATTAAGAAGGCCCAAAAAACCTTGAGAGACTATTTTGAGATAAATATGAACACCAATGTTGAAAAAAGAGTAATCTGGGACGCAAGCAAAGCTGTTATGAGAGGGTTCTTGATACAACAGAATGCATTAAAGAAGAGAATCCAAAATGAAAAGAAGGATAAAATATTGGAGAAAATAAAGGAAAGTGAAAAGAAATTGAGAGCAAAACCAAAGTCGCAAGAGATATTGAGAGAAATAAAGTTATATCAAGTACAATATATGAAAATGATGAATCAGGAGATAGAATGGAAAATTAAACAAATGAGACAAAAGACATTTGAGTCGGCTAATAAATGTGGGAAATTATTGGCTTGGCAAATGAAAAAAAGACAAAAATTAAATACTGTTACAAATTTAGAAGTGGAAGGGAGGAATATACAGAACCCAGCTGAGATTAGAAACTGTTTCCAGAGCAAGGTGGCTGTCACCGATGGAAGCGAAGGCTCAGAAAAAGCTCAATATGGAGGTCAAATGGCCGAAATATTGGGAAATTTTGGAACAAGAGGGAGATAGACTGAAATTGCAGAGTTTTGAGAAATTAAAAAACAAAGTGCGAGACTGGCTTCATTATTATCAGATAATGGAGGCATACAATTTGGACAAGAAAATTGGCTTCCAGGTGGAAAAATCAAAATTAGAAACAGAACTGTTAGAACCCAAAACTAAGATTTTGTCAAAGATGTATAACTTACTGTTGAAATGGAATACACAGGATGAAACGGTGAAATCTGCTATGATTAAATGGGCACAAGATGTTGGACATAACATAATGATGGCTGACTGGGAACAGTTATGGACCACAGGTATGAAGTTCACGGCATGTAATGCCTTAAGAGAGAATATTATGAAAATGATATACAGGTGGTACATGACACCAGTCAAGCTTGCAAAAATTTATCATTTGCCCGACAATAAATGTTGGAAATGTAAAGAAACTGAAGGTACATTCTTTCACCTTTGGTGGACGTGCCCAAGGATTAAGGCTTTCTGGGAGATGATTTATAATGAAATGAAAAGGGTATTTAAATATACCTTTCTGGTGCCAAAGAAGGATAGAATTTTCTTTATGTATGCCACAACAGCAGCAAGAATACTTATTGCAAAGTACTGGAAGACACAAGATCTACCCACTCTGGAAGAATGGCAGATGAAGGTGATGGACTACATGGAATTGGCGGAAATGACTGGCAGAATCCGAGACCAGGGTGAAGAGTCAGTGGAAGAAGATTGGAAGAAATTTAAAGACTACTTACAGAAATATTGTAAAATTAATGAATGTTAGAATGATGTCAGAATGAAGTTAAGTGGTTTTAGCAGCAATGTCATAAAGGTGTATGCAAAAATGGATGGTTAATAGGTGAGAATCTAAAGCTATAATAATATAGCTTAAGTTAAAGGACTAAGACAAAAACAAAGAGGGAAAGGAATTGCTGAATTAACCAATTGAACTGGAATACAAAAAAGGGAGGTGAGAGGAGGTCAGGGAACCAAGGAAATGAAATGTAAGATACGGAAGGATTAATTTGTTTTTAAGTGTTTTTTCCAAAAAAAAAAAAAATTCTATACTTTGTATTTTGTATGTTTTTTCTCTTTCTTTTTTTCTATATTTTCCCTTGTCTCTTTTATGTAATTTTTTGTTTCTGAAATTTTAATAAATATCTTTAAAAAAATAAAATAAAATAAAATGATTCAGTAGCCTGGTTTGCACAAAATGCTGAACTGTGGTTTATTAAGCCATAGTTTAGTGACATGTGAGCTTTGTGCAGCTTAACTATGTTTGGCTTACTGCCAACAAACCATGAATAGAATCTTGTTTGGTTTTTAACTGTGGCTTAGCATTACATGTGAACCCAGCATTATTATTAACCTTGATTTGGCTTACCATCCCACCCTAAACACTCACCAAACTACAAATATACTAGGTGTATAGCATTTGGGACAGGAACCATGGTTTGTCTGATCATCTGCTGGACAACACCTGGTTGATTCATGTTTTGTGACTTAATCAAACCATGGCATAGTGTCATGTGTGAGGAAGGCCAGTGACTTTAGGTCACAACAAGGAGCATTCTGCTGGGATAACTCAGTCAGTAGAGCATGAGACTCTTAATCTTAGGATTGTGGGTTCAAGCTCCATAATGGACAAAAGTTTCCTACATTGCAAGGCGTTGGACTAGATGACCCCTCTGGTCCCTTCCTACAATTCTATAATTCTATGATCTTCATTCTTAGAATCCTAGAATCGTACAGTTGGAAGGGACCCCTAGGGTCATCTCATTCAACCCCCTACAATGCAATCTCAGCTAAAGCATCCTTGACAGATGGCCATCCAGCCACTGCCTATAAACCTCCAAGGAAGGAGAGTCCACAACCTGCTTCACTGAGCTAAATGGACCAATGATCAGATTCGGGATAAGGCACCTTCTTGCACCCCTAATGCAGTGTGGTCTTCAGCAAAAGGGAAAGCAATAATGTTTACAACTACAAAACCCAGTATACGGTGTAATCATAGAATTGCAGAGTTGGAAGAGGCTCCGAGGGTCATCAAGTCCAGAAATCTCCACACACTGAGCAGCAACTTCGTGTTGCTTTTTGCAGCTGCATTAGTGCCAGCAGCCTCCCTTTCCCCCACATTCTCCTTCCCCTTTCTTACTCTGAGCCATTTTTTGCACCCACTTGGGCTCCCTCTCTCTGTTGTCCCCTGGCATGGACGTAGCCAAGGGGGGCACCTGCCCCCCTAGATCCACAGATATTATTGAAAAGCATTGATAGCATGGGCAGGAAAAGGATTTTTGTTAGGGTGGGACAGGCATCTTGAACCTCAGCTGGCTATGTATTTTTATGGATTTGAAAGTACTCAATTATCCAAGGTTCTGCCCCCCACAGCAGAAGCTTGTCTCTGCAATGACCTATTTACAGTACAGGGCATTTTCACTTGTGATTTCTCAAGAACAGCTCAACAACTTTGGCTACACCCCCCAAAAAAAGCCTGGCTACCCCCATGCCCCTTGGCTTTATTTGCGTTGTTGTTTGCAGCTGCAAAAAGTGCCAGTGGCCTTCCTCTCTGTGTCCTTCACTTGCTAACTTGAAATTTCTTGTTTTTTGCAGCCACTTTAGCTCCGGTGGCCTATTCCTCCTTTCTTAATCTCGCTTTCTTTGCTGCTGCTGCTGCTGCCTCCGCCCGACTTCTCTGCCTTGCTCTAACAAGTGAGGGGTTTGAGAGGTTATCCAGTTGGGTAGGACAGCAAGACCAGCCAGGAAGTTTGGGCTACTGTCTGTGCCACCAGTGATAAGCAGGGGCGTCCAAAGCATGGGGCCTGGGACAGTCGTCCCTATTCACACCCACCTTCCCAGGGCAGTCCTCCATGCCCCTGCTAGAGTTGGTAATCTCAGCCTCCTGCCACCGCTCTCTCGGCTGGCACAGGGTAGAGACATAGGAACCTGCTTTACACTAAGCTGGACTATTGGTCCTGCTCTAGCCCAGAGCTGCCTGCACTCACCGGCAGCAGCTGTCCAGGGTTTCAGACAGAGGTGTCTCCCAGCCCAACCTGGAGATGCTGGGGACTGAACCAGGAGCCTTCTGCATGCAAAGCAGATGCTCTACTCTTGAGATGTGGCCCTTTGCCTACAGCTCAGCTGCTCGTATAGCCAGGGACTATGCTGTGGCCTTGAGCAGGCATACTTAATCCTTCTTGCAGCAGAGGCAGACATGAGGCAGCGCCACAGAGCCCTGCGACTATGACATATGCCTCATGGTAGTTCCTGTAAAGAATATTTATTGATTTTACAAATACAAGGTGTAACTAAACACAAACTAATAATATAAAGAGATTCTCCAAATCCCGCAGTTTCCCCCCACCCCCTCCATGGAGTCTCCTTTTAAACATCTACAACTGCATATTCATTCGTACTCCAAATTTTATATCGAACCATATTGCGCATAATAATTTTTACACTACAAGTGAATCAAAATCCTGCTCTTGTTTCCATCTAGGAGTGTGCCGAATTTTAACCTCGCACAAGTTTCTGTTGAAATTTGAAAGACCAAAGTCTGTCTTCCCTCTCACAGATTTTGGATGATGACTCTCTAAGCAAAACAGTCCAGCTGACATTTTTTCTTTCCTGATTTGTTTCAGAGATCAGCCATAGCTACAGATGCCTGCAGAGATTTTAACACCACAGCCTCCCTCACATTGTGTTCCATCATCATCATCACCACCATCACCATCATCATTATTATTTACATTTATATACCACCTTTATATTCCAAGGATCTCAAGGTGGTGTACGTGGTTCATGCTTCCTCCCCATTTCATCCTCACAACAAACCTTTGAGGTAGATTAGGCTAAGAGATGGTGACTGGCTCAAGGTCACCCAGGGAGCTTCATGTAGGGTTGCCATTTATCCCATTTTTCCAGGACATATCCTCTTTTCCAGGGATAAAATTTCTGTCCAGGTGGATTTGCCAAAATGTCTCTGGCTATACTTTCTGGATGAGATGTAGACAGGACTTGCTTTCCTCTTCTCTTCTCTTGCTCCCCACCAGCAATAGATCACAGCTTCTGTAGTCTACATAGAGTAAAGGTAAAGGAACCCCTGACCATTAGGTCCACTCGTGGCCAACTCTGGGGTTGCGGTGCTCATCTCACTTTATTGGCAGAGGGAGCTGGCGTACAGCTTCCGGGTCATGTGGCCAGCATGACTAAGCCATTTCTGGCAAACCAGAGCAGCGCACGGAAACACCGTTTACCTTCCCACCGGAGTGGTACCTATTTATCTACTTGCACTTTGACGTGCTTTTGAACTGCTAGGTTGGCAGGAGCAGGGACCGAGCAACGGGAGCTCACCCCGTCATGGAGACTCGAACCGCCGACCTTCTGATCAGCAAGTCCTAGGCTCTGTAGTTTAACCCACAGCGCCACCCGCGTCCCCCTACATATAGTAGGGGTATTTAAAATGAGAGACGTCATAGCGTTCTCTTCTTCACTCTTCAAAATATGGCAACTCTAGCTTCATGGCCAAGTGGGGATTCAAACCCTGTTCTCCCAGTTCCTAGTCCAACACTCTAACCATTACACCACACTGGCTCTCATTATGAGGTTATTCTGAGGTGTCACAATGGCTCCAGGGCGGTTCAGCTGGTCGAGAGCTGCCCAGCTGAACCAAGGGGATTTGGGGAATGTTTATCTGCGTTAAATATGGAGGTAAGGGGGAACCCAGTAGACATGGGTTGTAGGAACAGAGGAAGCTGCCTTATACTGAGCCAGGCCATTGGTCCATCTAGCTCAGTACTGACCACACTAACTGGCAGCAGCTGTCCTGGGTGCTAGTCAGAGATCTCTCCTAGCCTCACCTGGATACAAAACACTGGGGGTTGGGGGAGACTTTCCCATGGAAAGCAGACCAGTGTCTCTTCTAGCCAGTGATTTTTTTTCTGGGGGGATAGGGTGGGGGAACTCACCACAATGTCTGTTTGTTTGTTTATTGTGGGCCCAGTCACAGTGCCTCCGCCCAGGCAGACAATGATCTGGATTAGAAACGGCCACAACTTTATTGATTAGAGATATAGGTGGATTTTTGGCTCAGGCATTGGGTGTATGTCTGTTCCAGCCCTCTCTGCCAGAAAAAAAATATATATATTTAATTTTTAAAAGGTAAGGGAACTCAGTCCACACCCCACTCCCAGGCTCTTGCTATATATATATAAAAACCCCTGCCTGTTGTGGTGCATGGGCTCAGCTGCTGCCCATAGAAACCATCCTTGGCTCCTCTTCTTGCAGACCAACGACAACTCCTGGCGAACATTAACTGCTCAGTCTTACTCCTAATGCATTACCTGCGCGACAAGGTGGGACTGCACAGGACAGGTGAGATGAGTTCCCAAAGCACAAAGAAAGTGGACGGCAAACCCTGCCCAGTTGATGGTCAGGAGGCAACAAAGACTGCTTCCCTTTGGTTGACTGTACTACGGATCCTGCAACAGGTAGTGCCGGGTTGGGGGGGGAATGACATGCCATCTTATCTCCAGGTGGAAAATATCCTGTGTCCACACTGCTTGTGACTTCTATGTACCAGAAGTACAAACTCAAAGGAAGACCCTTGGGCTCTGTTGACTAAGGACTAAAAACTGGCCACCCATGAAGGTCCTTAACCCATCCTTAATAAATGTACTTTGGAACTCCCATTTTCTTTTCAGCTCCTGTGGCTCCTCTTTCCTGTTTCAACAAGTGGAGATTTTTTAATCCTATTTTTCATCTGCATTGCACCTGGGATTATTTTGGATATATAAATTGTTTTAATTGTTTTTAGATATGAAATCCACTATATATTTTGGAAGGTTGTTTGTTCGCTACGCAACTGGATGCCTTTTAAGACATCATAACTAAATTTTGCATGATGGTTCCGGAGTTCAAGCAGGTTTTCATCTATTTTTGGATAAAACTGGACACCATTTTTGAATGCAGGGCCTTTGAGGGGATGGCTCCCCATCTCTGACGTATTTTCTCCAGGGAGGCTTGCATAGTGCTGAGTTGAATGTCTTTTGATGTCAGCGTGTAGAGGCTGGTCCGCTAGGGCCCCACCCACCATCTTCTTACTTACAAGTAGTCCAGGTGTCTGCCTGCCAGCTCTCTCCTCCTTAGTCATAGTCTGTGTACCTACCATGCTTTTAAACTGCATGGCTTCCCCCAAAGAATCCTGGGAACCTTAGTTTATCCCCTCACAGAGCTATAATTCCCAGAACCCTTAATAAAATGCAGTTCCCATGATTATTTTTTGGAGAGGAAGACATGTGGGTGAAATTTCCGAAAAGCAGTGCTTTGTCCTGGATCTTAGGCAAGTCAATCAAAAAAATGCAACCCTACCATATGTTTAGTGGCCAGGGCTCCCCCCTTAAAGAATTCTGGGAACTGTAGTTTGTTCAGGGTGTTGAGAATTGTTGGGACCCCACAGGGCTGTAATTCTCAAGAGTTCTCTGGGAATAAAGATTGTTAAAGTCTTTTTTAAAAGAAGAAGAAGAAGAAGAAAATTCTATTACATATTTTTCATAATTCAATAAGATAAAAGAAACTAATCTAAATAAAAACAAAAACAGAGAAACAAAGAAGGGAAATACCAAAAAGAAACCCAAATAGAATAATAGAAAAGAAAATAATAAAATAAAAATAAAAATTTGCTGTCAGCAAGAAATTACTCAAAATATTCATTCTAGAATGGCACCAAACTGATAAAAGGCAATATTTTCTGAATATTGACCCAAATAGATTAATTCATTTTCCTTTGTACACAAAAAGTCCAAAAGGGCTTCTATTATTATTATTATTATTATTATTATTATTATTATTATTATTAAATATCAGCAATAGTCTTTCTGTATCAAACATATTGATTGTTAAATTATGTGGGAACTGTAGTTCTGTGAGGGAAATAGAGACTTCCTAACAACTCTCAGAACCCTTAACAAACTGCAGTTCCCAGGATCCTTTAGGTCGGGGAAGCCATTACTGTTTTCTGTGCTTTTGAGCCCTACCAGTCCTAAGGGACACTAGTCAGCATCAATCCAGTTGCAACCCTTTTCTACCTGCCTGAACCTTTCAGGACTTGGGCCACTTCTGCATTTCCACTAAAGACTTATACTCTGTTTTGCATTGAGCCACATTCTGAATAAATTTGACTATTTGAAGTATGTTGCTTTCATTGTTATTGTCTTTAAATGTTTGTAGATCAGGCCCTAGGGGAAAGCTGGCAATTAAATAACCACAATTACTTTTTTCAAGAGTGTAAAATGCAAGACTGAGAACAGGCAACTCCTGGCGTAGTTGTGTTCTGTGGGGGCTGACCCACAACCATTGACCAACAGAGGAGAGTGTCGTGGACTTGTTGGAGACAGAAGAATGGTGGGAGGAACCAGTTGGGGAACCCCCAAGGGAACAGGGCTCAGAGCCTGGGGAGTGGTGGTGGGATGACAATGAGTAGTCACAGGGAGAAGAAAGAGGGGCGAGACTGGGTAGAGGAATTGTCAGAAGCTGAAGAGGAAAGAGGGTTTAGTGAGCAGGGAGAGTCTGCTTCTGAGAAAATCAGAAGCAGAGGCTGAAGACGAGAGAGGCCATGAGGCAGAGATAAATCAGGCTTTTGAAGAGTCACAGATGTCCCCCTACCTGCTGCAACAAGCCCCCATCTCCTCCTGTCTCCTAGCCCCAGAAGAGGGCTGAAATGGGCAGAACAGCAGCAGGCTCCACACAGGTGTAGTCTCTAATTGTTTGGGGAAAGCCCTGGTGAGGAAGGGACTTAGATGGCTGTGGGGAGGTAGGGACTTTCAGTCTCAGCAACTGATTTTTATGGGGTAAGACCTACCAGGGATGAGCTGCTGTGCTCCTTAGGCCTGACAGCCAAGTCTGTGATGGTCGTGTTTTTGCTAATAAAGAGTTAAGACCAACTTTGAATGCTGTGAATGCTCCTTGACAAAGAGGCAAAGTTCCTGCTTACACAGAGGAAAGGAGGTGAACCCACCCACTCCACTGCCCCCCATATCTCTCTGTTCCCTTTTCAGATCCCATCGACTTGTGTGAAGAGAATGGGACCCTGAAGCTGCTATTCCTAGTCAAGTTTCCAGAAGACAATGCCAGCAAGTTCCTCACTCCCCGTGTGACCTACTACATATGTAAGGTGGAGCGGGGTGCCCCAGGTACGTCCAAGGACTAGGAAGCCCCCCTTCCCCCACCTGCACAGCTAGTTCTACAGGTGGTAGCCACAGCTTCCTGAAAGTCATTGCTTCCTTGGCTCCAAATATTCCCTTTCTCAAAGGCGTGGGGTCAGACGTACGCAGGCTTCCCACTGGTAGCACAGCTGGCAGAGCTGTTTCAAAGCAAACCCAGGGAGCTGCCTCTTAAATTGCTGTTGCTCTTTCTTGACCCATGCAGTCATAAGGTCTAGAAACTTAAAAATGAAACCTGACATTTCCTCTTTGGATTTTGCTATGTTTTCTTGTGTTGTGCTAACTCATCCTTCTCCAGCATAAGGAAGTGGCAAGGCATCTGCTCAGCATGCAGAAGGTCCCAGGTTCAATCCCCAGCATCTACAGGCAGGGCTGGAAACGCCCCCCCCCCCCAGCCTGAAACCCACCAAACTTCTGAGGAGGAGCTGTGACTCAGTGGCAGTGCATCTCCTTTACATGCAGAAGGTCCCAGGTTCATCTCTAGGTAGGGAATATAGGCAGCCCCAAACCCTGGAGAACCTCTACCAGTCAATTTAGACAATACTGAACTTTATGGACCAATGGATCTGAGTATAAAGGCAATTTCTTCAGATATCTTCAGATATTTCAGACTGCAAATCCCATCAGTCTCAGTCAGCATGGGCTGTAATCCCCAACATCTCGGAGGACCCCAGGTTAGGGAGGTTTTATTAGCACCTTGACTGTGCCTGCTGATCTGCTGACAATTCAGCTTCATTTTCTCGCTGGCTGTGTTTATTATTATTATTATTATTATTTATTATTATTATTAATTGGGTCATTTGCCACAGTATATTTTTGATTTTATGGGTTGTTTTGTGTAGCACGCAATGGGGAATTTTAAGGTATGTGTGTGAGTCCCTTAGCTGGTATATGCAAAAGAGCAATTGCCATTTATTGCGTTTCATTCAAGGTGCCACTTACCCACCTCTGATCAGAAAGCTACTTCTTGACTTGTGCAATATATTATATTGAGCTATACTGTTAGTATTATCTGCTCTGACCAGCAGTGGCATTCCAAGGTCAACAGCAAAGCTTTCCCCATGACCCTTTACCTGCCATTTAACTAGCAATACCAGGAACTGAACTCGGGACCCCAGGGGACTCTGTCATTCTTTGCATGCAGAAGGTCCCAGGTTCAAACCCCAATAGCAACTTCAGGGCTGAGAGAGACGACCTGTCCGAAACCCTGGAGAGCTGCTGCCAGTCAGAGTAGACAATCCTGAGCTAGATGGACCAATCTGGTATGATGCAGCTTCCTTTGTCCTGCATGCTTGGCAGGTGCTCTTATACAGAACTAGGGGATCTCCCCACCCCCACCCCATGAACTCTTGCCGGGTACTCCATACCTGTTGTACCTGGTGCCTTCCAGAAACTTGTGGACTACAATTCTTAAGGGAAAAGGCAGTCCAAAGCATCTATTTTTTTAAAATTAATATTTATTAAAGTTTCAGAAAAAATAAAATCACATTAATAAACACAAAAATTTTAACAAAAACAGAGAAAAATACACCATACAAAATACAAAGTACAGAATAAAAAAAAGGAAAAAAGGGGGAAAAAGAAAAAAAAGAAAAAACAGTTAAAAATAATTCCGTCCTTTCATAACCTCTTTTAAATTTACTTATTTCCCGGACTTCCTCATACCTCCCTCTTTTGTATTCCATTTCAGTTTGTAAACCCAGCAATTTCTTACCCTCCTTTTTAATTCCAGTCCTAAATCTTGATATATTATGACATTAGATTTTTACCTGTTTGAATCAATTTTTCCATTTCTCTTAATCTTTTTGGTCCTAATCCTTAATCTTGATACATTTATAGCCTTAAAACCTGTTCAGCTAGAAGCCACTTAACTTCAATCCAACATCACTCTATGGCAGTCCAAAGCATCTAGACTTGCCAGACAGATTGGGGAAGGCTGGCTTGTACCCAGGTTTCTGTGAGCTTACCTCTTGGGAAAGAGAGCCAGTAGGGGCTGGAGGTTCAAACTCCCACTTGGCCACGGTCTCTGTCTCTCAACCTCACCTGCCTAACAGGGTTATTGTGAGAATTAAATGAGGAGGGGGAGAACTTTCCCAATTAATGCAGCCTGATGGAAGATGGAGAGCCTCCAAGCCATCTGCATCAACCTGGGCTGCACCTGGAGTAGGATTATCAAGGAATGTAAGGCAGTGGCTTCCCCTTTCTTTATAACTGCGGATGCTTCATGGCAACGCTTTGTGGAACTGGCTTTTCTAATCTTTCGGAGACCACAGAGAAATCTCCCTCCAGCTGGAGCCAGGGCTGCATCTGCCACAATTCTGGATGTGCAGAGCAAAAAAAGAGCACAGGACAGGGTCCTGAGTGCAGGATTTGGCTTTCTGCGAATCTTGGCTTCCATTAAGGAACAAATTCCTAGCCCCTGCAAAAGCAAAAGATACACTCAGAAATATTTGGATGGTGACGAAATCTCAGAAGCTAGAGGGGTGGCTGAAACAGAGTTCTGGATGCTAGTAGGTAGACTTTTATTCTTCAGTATCATGCTAGTCTTGAGGGTGAGCCAACTGAGAACTCATGGTGCAAAAGAAATGTGTGTGTTTAATTGGCACAATCTGCAGGTTGTCCAGGGGGCAGGTTAGGGAATGCAGCTGCTCCTGGCACCAAAATATGGCTTGGGTTGGGGTGGAATCTCCCTCTCTTTTCTTTCATTGCGCACCTGCTCCTCCTGTTTATCATCTTCTCCTAATCTAATTGAAAACATTAAAGAATGCTCATAAGAGGGAAGCAGGACTGTGCCTGCCTGCCTCCCACCCACTCAAGGCTAGTTGGTCCATTGTGTGGGGGAGGTCAGGGCGTTTGTGCAGCCGAGAGCTTTCGCAGTAAACAGCTGCGACTCTAACCATGTAGCCCTTCCTTACTAATGCCAGCTGTGTCTCTTCCACTGGCCTGCAGGTACAGTCCTCTTCAAAGAACACATGAACTCCCCTCTCGGGTCTTTGTGGCTATGGATTTCTGCGTCCCTCTGGCATAAAGGGTCTATGGCTCTTTCCTTCTTATTGCCCTGCAGAAGGGTGCAGTGCTGACTCAAGAGCTGATTTTGACCATCCTCCTTTGAACTCCTTCCTTGTGTGTTCAGGCAGTTCTCCCTTAGGGACAGAACCTTCATGGCGCCTGCCTGGGAAAGTTGTTTCCGGGAACTTTAGTTGTGATTCCTGCATTGAAGGGTGTTGGTCTAGATGGCCCTTGGGGGGTCCCTTCCAACTTTACAGTTCTATGATTCTTTGTATTCCCCCTTGAGCTCCTGGGAGAAGAAGGCAGGATATAAATGCAATAAATAAATATAAAATAAATAAAAGGCAAATGGCAATTAGCTGCAGACTGGTAGAAATCAGCCGTGAGCCTTCTCCCGACTTGTATCTAGGAATGCAGAGCACTCAGCCCAAGTTCCATGTTGCAAATGCACTGCAAAGCGTCAAAGCGAGTAACACAGGGTTCTCTCTTTGCAGGGTCGAAACAAGAAAACAGCTACCGGGCCTTTCACCCTATGTACAAGCACCCTCCAGTAGAATTATTGGGTAGGAACTTGCAGGACTTAAAACTTCTATTCTCAGTTTATCACAATGCAACTCTGAAACCTACGAAGTCAGGGCAAGTAAAAGTAGCCCCTTTTACATTTCCTTCCCCTGTGAGCAACACCATATAGGAGAAAGGGGCTAGAAAGAAGTTTTTCTCACCCTCTCTCTCAGTGAAAAGAGAGGTGCTGGAAATCACCATGAATGCCTCCTTCCTTGTTCTCTTAGAATGGCAATGGCGCCCACCTGGGATGTGCTGGAACCCACATCAGATGGGGGGAAGCCTTGCTCTCTCATATTAAAACTCAGCAGGGTTATGCAATGAAGCCAAATGGTGGGAGATTCAGGACGTACAAAAGGAAACAGAGCAGAACTGAACTATGGGACTCTGTACTGTAAGATATACTGCTGGCTGCCAACATGGATGACTTTTAAAGGGTTTCAAACAAGTCTGTGGAGGTTAAAGCTATCAGCGGCTTCCAGCCATGCATTTTCTACAGTGCTGGAGGCAGTGTTCCACTGGATTCCAGTTGCCAAGGATCACAAGTAGCAGGGGCGCTGACTCCTAAGGGCTGAACCCCTTTGACCCCCCCCATTTGTTAGCAGGGGGCTGAGCCCCCTCAATATTCGTTCAAACATTGTGCATGATATTACAATGCCGTACATGACACCCAGAGGCGATGCTGTCATGCAAGTCAGCAACACTGCAGCTCCTCCTCCTCCTGCTGCTGCTGTGGAGGGGAAGCAGCCCTTGGCCATGGTGGTGGCAGGAGGTACAGGAAATGTCAGCCATGGAAGCTGAGTGATGCCCGGGTGGCATCACCTCTGGGCATCACGTCTGACATCCGGGTGTCATGCAGGACGTTGTGGTGTCGCGTAACATCAGCTCACCCAGCGCTTTCCTGAGTCAGCGCACCTGACAAATAGGAGGAACTTGCTGTTGAACTTGCCTCCTGCTTTCAGGCTTCCCCGTCAAGGCCTCTGGCCGCTGTGATAACAAAATGTTGGACTGGATAGGCCTTTGCTCTGACCCAGCAACCAGGCTCCTCTAACGTTTATTTGTTTTGTTTCATGAAATTTATATAAAGCGCTCCTTGACTGCCAAACCCAAAAACAAAAGAAGCCTCAAAGAAGTTTGCAAGAAAGGAAAGTAAAACAGTGAAATTATCTGGAAAAGAAAAAGTCAAAAACAAGAAGTATTTAAATATTTAGTAAGCTAAAAAAACAGGTTAAAACACATGTCAACGTTGTACATGTCTGGTTAGCCTTGCTGAAATAAATTCTTTTTCAGCAGGTGCTGAAAAGGATACAGTGAGGGCAGCTGCCTGATGTCAATATAGTGGTACCTCAGTTTACGAACTTAATCTGTTCCGGAAGTCCGTTCTTAAACTGAAACCATTCTTAAACCGAGGCATGCTTTCCCTAATGAGGCCTCCCGCCGCTGGTGCCCTTCCACCGTTCAGATCCCATTCTTAGACCGAGGTAAAGTTCGCAACCCGGGACACTACTTCCAGTTTTGCGGAGTTTGTGAAGCAAATCATTCGTAAGCAGAGCTGTTCTTAAACCGAGGTACCACTATATACCACTATAAACCGAGGTACCACTATTCCAATGTGTAGCTGTTCTTTTGTCCCTGAAAATCACAGACCTGGGTAGAAGGCAGAGCTTTTAGATCTCCAAGTGGTGGTATATTCTAGACAGACTTCGACACCTAGCATATTTTATTTTTTTTAATAGAACTGAGGCACTGGGTGTCAGGACAGAGGCCAATCCTACCCCCTTACTTTAGGTCTGAGCAGAAGACTGTTATCTTTACTAGAAATTTCTGGGTGAGCCAGCCAACAATTGCCCCAATACCCTCAGAAACCTGAGAGGCAGAATTGTCAACCACTGGATTAAGAACAAAGCAGGTCCCCCACCAACCATACCAGCTTTAGAAAATATTTCAATATACGGGCACAACAGACCTTTTTATTCAATAATACAAGCAAGTTGCATAAGAAAAGGGTAGTTCCGTTTGAGGAATGCTTCACCAGGAGAGTGCAGGCAGAAAAAAATAAAATAAAACAAACCTAAATTACCTGTCTCTGATCTTTCCCTCTTGTTGAGCACCAATCTCCGAGGGGTGAGAGACTCCAGAGGTTCCAGGCGATTACCCAGGGTTCGGTTTGCTGGCAGTAAGGGACAGCAGAGACTGTGGTGTCTTTATGGCATATGACTTATTCACACATCTATGCAACCTGGAGAGGCTCACAGCATTAACACCCCAATAATGTCTTGCTTCTCCCAGTCACAGCCTTTCTTCAAAATCTCCTCCCACCACCTCCCCAATTTTTAAAGTCAACAACTGAAACAGAGCCTATTGCTATCCTTGTTTTTAGGAAACTCTATAAAGCATGGGTTCCAGGCATATACCCAGGGTTCAGTTTCCTAGGAATGAGGTTCAGCGGAGACTGTGGTGTCTTTATGACATATGGCTTATTCACACATATACACAACCTGAGCCTACGCTGGAGGGGCTCACAGCATTAACAACCAAGAAAATCTTTGTTGTCCCAATCACAGCCTTGGATTCCAGGAGAAATCAAGCATGGCTCTCCCTCTCTGGCTTGCGGCTGCTTCTAACTTCCAGCTCTCTCTCACACACAACTCTCCACTCTGGCTTTTGTCTTTCTAACTTAACACCTAGTTGAGGGAGGGCCCCCCACCCATTTGCCCTCTGGCACAGAGCCACTTCCTTTGTTACCTTAAAGACCTATACTTAGGCCATTACCAAGAAGCAGCCTGGCTATTCCAATAATCGAGTCCTTGCTGGTTCCAAGAATAGAACTGACTTGGGCATACAGCCTAACTGCCCCTCCCCCACCCTGCCCTGCAAACTTACAACACTCTGCTTTGATCTAGCCTTCCTTCAATCCACAACAGAGATCCAAGACTCCTAGATTAGACAATAAACCAACATGCAGCCAGGAAATAGGCAGAGGACTTGTTCCTTTTTTGACTGGTGGTTTTATATCTCTAGCAGGTCAGGCCAACTTTTATCTTCAATCCGGCCGATCCAAGGCTCTTTAGAGGTATCTCTTATTTTATAACGAACTCCAAAAAGGGGGCGGGGGTGGGGAGCCTCCGCAGCTGGACAGTATTATGAGAATTAGCGGACTCTCATGTTTGCCTTGGACAGGCTAGCCCAAGAGATAAGCAAGCATCCTAAGGCTACTCATCATTTCTACTTTCCCATACTCTCTTTCTGTTCAGAGCCAGGCCGGCCGTTACCAGTCCCAGCACAGAATCCCAGATTCTGACTCTGGAGAGTTGCTACTCCTAACACCGAGAAAGATCTAGCAGGGTTCTTCACCAGCTACCAGAGGGGCAGCAAATGAAGAACGACTCTGGGTCAAAGATCCCCAGCACACTGTGGCCAGATGTGGCATACGCTGGAGTTTAGGGCAGATTCGGAGCTACCCAGCTCTGTAAAGAGAGGGAAATAGGCAGAAGAAGTGCATGGTAGCTGTGGGCTGCATCAGGGAGATAAGGAGGATGTTGACAGTGTGCATTCAGAGAAGGGAGACCAAGAGAGATCTGGAATCTGTGAGGGCTCTGGAATCAGAGTCCTTTGAGGGTGTGGGCATGTTAGGCTAAGGGGAGACATGATAGCTGCCATCATGTATTTGAAAGGATGGAAGTTTATAAATCTATGCAAGGCATGGAGAGAGAAGATAGGGGGAAGTTTTTTCCTCCCTCTCTCAAAACACTAGAGCTCATGGACACAAAGTGAAGCTGATTGCTGGGAGATTTAGGGCAGATGATGGAATCATAGAATTGCAAGGGACTCCAAGCACCATCTAGTCCAACCCCCTGCAATGCAGGAATCTCAGTTAAAGCATCCATGACAGATGGCCCTCCAATCTCTACTAAAAACCTCCAAGGAAGGAGAGTCCACCACCTCCCAAGGGAGACCATCCCACTGTCGAACAGCTCTTACTGTCAGAAAGTTCTTCCTAATGTTTAGTCAGAATCTCCTTTATCATAGTTTGACGCCTGCCCTCCAAAGCAGAAGAAAACAACCTTGTTCCATCTTCCAGGAAATAGCCCTTGAGATATTTGAGGATAGCTATCATATCTCCTCTCACTTTCCTCTTTTCCAGGCTAATACCCAGCTCCCACAACCATCCTGCATAAGGATTGGTTTCCAGACCCTTGATAATCTTAGTCATCCTCCTCTGCACACGTTCCAGCTTCTCAATGTCCTTCTTAAATTGTGGTGCACAAAACTGGACACAGGACTGCAGGTGTGGTCTGACCATGGCAGAATAGACCAAGACTATTACTTCCCTTGATTGGAACACTGTACTTCTGTTGAATATAGGCAGACTAGAATACCATCAGCTCTTTTTTTGCTCATGTTAAGCTTGTGATCCACTAAGTCCCCTATATCCTTTTCACACGTTCTACTGATAAGTCAGGTTTCCCCATCTTATCTTTGTGCAGCTGCCTATTCCTGCCCAAGTGCAGAACCTTAGATTTGTTTCTATTGAAATTCTTTTTTTTAGTTTGGACCCAGTTCTCCAATCTGTTAAGGCCACGTTGAATCCTTTTTTTCTGCAGCATTAGTTACCCCTCCCAGTTTGGTGTCATCTGCAAATTTGTTGAGCATCCCCTCAATTCCTTTGTCCAAGTCATTTATAAAGATGTTGAGCAACAACAGGCTCAGGACAGTACTGTGTGGCACCCCAATTGTCACTTTTTTCCAGGATGACAAGGAACCTTTACTGAGCACTCTTTGGGTTCAGTCAGTCAACCAGTTACAGAACCACCTAACAGCTACAAATCTACCTCATCTAGCCCACATTTTATCAGCTTCTCTGCAAAAATATCATGGGGGAGTTTGTCAAAAGCCTTCCTGAAATCAATATACACTACATCTTCAGCATTCCCCTGATCCACAAAGTTTGTAACTGCATCAAAAAGAAATAAATAAATGAAATTTGTCTGGCTTAACTTGCTTTTGAGAAGTTAGTAATCACAGCATTCTTTTCTAAGTGCTCACAGACTGACTGTTGAATTATCTGTTCTAGGACCTTCCCTGATATAACATAAAGTACTTATTCACTCAGCGCATAGTGGAACTCACTTCCCCAGGAGGTAGAGATGGCCAGCAATTTGGAGGGTTTTCAAAGAGGATTAGACAAATTAATGGTGCAAAGGGCTTTGACAGGCTACTCTCCTTAATGGCTGTGCTCTGCCTCCACAGCTGAAGGCAGCAATGCTTCTGAACAGCAGTTGCTGAAAACCACAGGAGGGGAGAGTTCCTCTTTGCTCAGATCCTGCTCCATGGTTTCCCACAAGTATCTGGTTGGCCACTGTGAGAATAGGATGCTGACTAGATGGGCCATTGGCCTGATCCAGTCATGGAGTAGGCTTGTTCTCTGTTGCTCGGAATGGTCTGGAGATATCTATATCTATATCATCTATCTGTCTGTCTGTCTGTCTGTCTGTCTGTCTATCATCTATCTCTGTGGGGTGCAGAAATAATTTGATGGGTAAGAGTGCTGGTTGAAATAATAATGAAACATAGGGTTTATTACTCCTAGTAAACAAAGCCATTCTGAATACAAGCTCCCATGTGGCTGTCATGGAATCATGAGGTCAGCTAAAAGGAAGGTCCAACACTAACACTAACTGAAGCAGCAGCAGAAAGGAAGTTAAGCTGAGAGAGAGAAAATGATCAGCAGAAGGAATCAGTGAGGGTCCGAGCCTCTATCCCACCTCTCTAACTTATTGCAAGCATCATTGCTTTGCACCCAACAAGGCTGGACAGCAAGAGAAACTTCAGAACGATCAGAGTTGTTCAACAACAGGACAGCATGCCTTGGAAGGTGGTGGTTCTCCTTCCCTGGAGGCTTCTGAGCATCTGTCAGGGATATTGTAGTTGTAATCTTCCAACACTGAGCTGGGGTAGGGGTGCACTTGATGTCCTCCAGGGTCCCTCCCAACTGAGAAGAATGCTATGATTTTCCAGTGAACACCAGGTTGGTCTTAAGCTGACCCTGAACTACTTTTCCACACTGTTCTGCCTCTCCAGTTGCTCACTCAGAGCAGGGGTTGCCTTTTAAGCTCAGCCAGTCACTGTCTCTCCCACAGCCTCAGCCCCCACTTGAGAGTCAGTGTGGTGTAGTGGTTAAGAGTGGTAGACTCGTAATCTGGGGAACCGGGTTCGCTTCCCTGCTCCTCCTCATGCAGCTGCTGGGTGACCTTGGGCCAGTCACACTTCTCTGAAGTCTCTCAGCCCCACTCACCTCACAGAGTGTTTGTTGTGGGGAAGGAAGGGAAAGGAGAATGTTAGCCGCTTTGAGACTCCTTAAAGGGAGTGAAAGGCGGGATATCAAATCCAAACTCTTCTTCTTCTTCTTCTTCCCACTTCTGTAAAATGGCACCAATCAGGATGGTCACATCCACATCGTACCTTGAAAGCACACAACTTCCCCCCAAAGAAACCTGGGAACTCTAGTATGTTAAGGGTGCTGGGAATTATAGTTCTGAGTGGTGAACTACAGTTCCCAGGATTATTTGGTGGGCACTGCTAAAAATGTATGGAGTGGATGTGGCCCAGCCTCATCAGGGTGGTTGTGAAGCAGAGAACAAGTCTGATTTTTAAAAAAAATGTTTTGGAAATTGTAATTGCTGCATGCACTGTGACAGGCCATAAAGCTGTGTTTGAGTCAATGGTGCAGCCAGCTGGGCTTTTCAAGGCTGCAGCAGAAGGTCCTCTTCCCACTGAGCATCTCTGCTTGCCCTTCAGACTCCTTGCGTAACCAGTGTGACATCCTTGAGAAAAGCCGCCTCAAGATTCTCAAGAGCACAGATGGCAAGAAGCCCCCAACCATGGAATCACTCCTGTCGTGCATGGCAGTAGCAAATCAGGTGGTGGTGAGGCACTCATTTTTACCTGGGGGGGGGGGGCAGATCCAGCTCATTTTGGCCCTGTATAGCTTGTCTGACGCGACTCCAGGACTTGCCATGCACATACCCCTCTCTTGTCTAGACTCCATCTAGGCAAGCAAAAGGGCTTGTTTGAGCCAGGTAAAAACACCCAGGGAGGGTGTGAAGCAGGGCTGGTGAGAGGCGTGGCCTGGGGAGAAAGAGGGTGTGGCTGGGCAGGGGTGCAGTGCTAGGGGAGAATTCTGCGGGCTTGACAGAGATACCTGCTGCCCTTAGTTTTCTCACCTCTGGTTTAGCATCCTATCTCTTTCCATCTTCAGCACCTTGTAGCCTTTGTGATCTTGCCATGAGGGAGCTAGTCTCCTCCTGCCTCAGGGAATTGCCTTTCTTCCCAGGGGTGGTTGTTGTTTTTTAATAAAAAAAATTCAGGGCAGGGTGGGATTGACTAAAACTTGTCTTTAACAGTAGCGCATGTGCATAGATATTAAGGTGCCAGGTATAGTTTACCGCTTCACACCACTCTGGTATTTTTTATTTATTTGTTACATTTATATCCCACCTTTTCCTCCAGTGAGCTCAAGGTGTTGCACATGATTCTCCCCATTTCATCTTCCCAAAAATCCTGTGAGGTAGGCCATGCTGGAGAAAAGAAATGCATTTCCTTCTCTTGCGTTTGCAGTTAATGGATGTGTTACTTTAAACCACAAGACGACACAGTTTGTTTAGCAATGTGGCCAGCACTTATGTGTAGTCTTTGCTTTGTCTAAGTTAACCCCACCCCTAAATGATGAGCTCTGTTTTGTTTGCTGTTCTCTCCCAACTTGTTGAGACAATATGTCTGTTATTTTCTCTCTCTCATCTACACACATCCAGTAAATAGTTGCAACATGAATAAAGCCTTTGTACTCCAGAAACTGTGTGATTTTTTTCAACTCAGTTCACCCAAGCTGCAAGGTCTGTTAACAGGTTAGGCTAAGAGATGGGTGCTAGCCAAAGGTCCCCCAGTGAGCTGCGTGGTTTTGGGATTTGAACCCTCCTTTCCCAGGTTTTAGCCTGACACTCTAACCATTATGCCACATTGGTTCTTAACTTTTGAACTTTGGACCCAAAACTTCCCCCCCTGATTTCTCTTTAACTGAGTGAAGAATTGCCTTCTTGACTTTTAAATCAGTGGAGGAGGGCAGGGCTGTTGGAGAGTAGATGGATGCAACCAACAGCCAAGGGAAGGGGAGTCTTCAGCCATGTGCAATAGCAGAGAGAATGGTGGGGGAAAGAGAGATACTTGTTTGGAGCACTGGGGTGTTATGGGCACACCCCTGCTTTCACCTGAGAGCCAGTGGTGGCATAGTGGTTAGCGTGTCAGATTAGGACCTGGGAGACCAGGGTTCAAATTCCCACTTGACCGCATGAAGCTGACTGGGTGACCTTGGGTTGTTGTTGTGCAGATTAAACGAGGAAGGGGGAACCACGTAAACCACCTTGAGCTCCCTGGATATAAAGTTGAGCTATGGATGGATGGATGTTGGGTTCTTGCCACCTCCGCCTCCTTCAAGGGCCACTGCTGCTGCACCCTAAACTTTGTTGATCTGTGTTTGTCTCCTATGCCCAGGGGAAAGCCAGTGGGAAGTCTGGGGCCAGTTCGTCTGGCGGCCTAGATGATGAGGGCCAGCCTCGTAAGACGACCACAACAGCCAAAGCCAGATGGGAGATAGGCAAGAAGGATAAGCATCGCTGAGTACCGAAGGTGATGCCCAGAGGGAGCTGCAGCCCACCATCACTGTGAATAAAGGCACTTTTGGACCTGAGTCACCCCTGGCTCCTTCTCTTTGGGGGTGCTGCTGGAGTATTGGGCGGAATGGGGAGCTGCCCTTTGAAGCAAAGCATGGATTGCAGCTGCATTGTCTGTTGAACCCGTTTTGCATTCAGAGACGGAGCCCTCTTATGTGTGGTTTTTTTTTTTATAAAAAAGGCTGATGTCACCAGGGAGCCTTCTGATTGGAGGCAAAGCGAAGCTGCAGCAGAAAGTGGATCTGCCAGAACACGGTGGGAAGAAACTCCCGGCAAAAGGCACCATTGCAGGCAGGCAGGAAGTTGCAAGAGGCTGGGCTGGCTCATCTGCTCCCTCCTGTCCTGGATGCATGCCTGTGGTCCAGTCTGGCAGCAGCTGCATCCTTGGCAAACGTTCAATGGTGATCCTTTCCTTGGTGGCCTAGTCTCTGAGAGCCAGGGTGGCACTGCCCTGCCAGATTCAGCCTGCCTTCAGCCAGGCCCCAACTGCCTGCTCTCTCACTTGTAACTGGTCCAGCCAATGGGTAGCACTGCCCACCAGTTCCCTCCTACTTGGTCCCAGTGCTGCTCATGCAGAACCTCAGACGTGAGCAGGATGAGGGGGAAACCGGAAGTAGTTGGCTCTGGCTCCATTTACTGCTTGGGCTCCCTGCCTTTTGCCAGGCCAGGTCATCAGGAAAGACATGTAGATAGATGTTGGAGGCTTATGGCATGAGGGTATTGCCATGCCTATGAACATAAGGATATAAGAGCCCTGCTGAATGAGGCCAATGGCCCATCTGGTCCAGCATCCTGTTCTTACATTGGCCAACCAGATTCCTGTGGGACATCTGCAAGCAGCACCCAAGCATCTCCCTTCCTGCGGTTTCCAGCAACTGGTATAAAGAAGCATTGCTGCCTCCAACTGGGGTGACAGACTGAGCCGACCCACCCATGAGGCAAGCAGAGCACCTGCCTCAGACGACAGAAGCACAAGAGAGGCTTTTCCTGTGTGCCGTGTTGGCACTCTGCCTCTCTTCCTGGCGTTGGGAAAGACAAGTGGCAATGCCACCTGCTGGGATACCTCCCCTCTCAGGTGGAGAAGTCAAGCAGCAGAACTTTGCTGAATGCCCTGGCACTCTGCAAATTCAGAGAGAGCCAGGGCATTCTGGCAGTGGAACTGGGGCGGGAGGGCATAGCAGGAGGCAGGAATTCCCATTTCGCCTTAGGTGGTGAAGTGGGATGGGCTGTCCCTAGTAGCAGAGCAGAGCCATTGTGACCAGTAGTCCTCAGTAGCCTTCTCCTCCATGAATTTGTCCATTCCTCTTTTAAAGCCATCTGAGTTGGTGGCCATCACTGCTGCCTGTGGAAGGGAGCTTCGTAGGTTAACTATGCGCTGTGGGAGACAAGTTGGGAGACAAAGCTGCATTAGGGTGTGAAACCTAATCAAAGCAGGAGTTCTGTTGGTTTTCTGTCCCTATTTGGGGAAAAACAAGGGTGTATGTACTGATTCATGATGCCCAAAGAGGGGAGCTCAGAACTGAGTCAGTGAAGAAATTCAAAATGGAAATCAACCGCCAAGCTTCTAGATCTGTTTTTTTAAAGAGACTAGCCCTGGCTACAAAACAAGGTCCCAAATAATGTTTTCACAGTGTGAGAAGCAGAGGAGAATAAAAAAAGGATTTAAATAGCTCTTTTCAAACAGCTAAAGCTAATTTTTGAGTTATTTAAATCTCTTCTGACAGCATGGATGTGTCTGTTCAGGAACCCTGGAAGAATAAAAATGGTTGGGTAAATGGAGTTCATAGAACTGTAGAATTGGAAGGACCATGAGGGTCATCTAGTCCAACCCCCCTGCAAAGCAGGAATCTTTTGCCCAGTATGGGGCTTGAACCCATGGCCGTGAGATTTAAGAGTCACATGCTCTTCCAAGCTATCCCAGCTATTTGTCCATATGGCTGCACGCTTGGGATTTCATTGGCTGCTTCCTAGAGTGTCCATTTCCGTACTTTGTCCCCATCTTTAAAAACAGTTGAAGTAAAAATAAAAATAGGAAAAGGAAACTCTTGTGCAATCTCCACCCCACACTAATGCAGTGTAAGTAATCAGGACAATACCTGCTGTGAATATTGCACAGCGAGAGAAAAGAGCCAAGCCATCTGCAACCTGAGGGAATAGACAAAGACATCAGGGCGTGGAGAGAAAAGGCACAAGGAAGAGTGAGCACAGTCTATATCACAAGGCAATTCATGATGGCTGCTGCATTAACAGGGTTTAAGGCCCCCTGAACATGTGTGGAGAGGCAGGGTGACGCAATGGTTAGAGTGTTGGACTGTGACTTGGGAGACAAGGTTTTGAATCCCTACTCAGCCATGAAGCTCACTGGGTGACCTTGCGCATAGCCCACTTCACTGGGTTGTTGTGAGGATAAAATGGGGAATAAAAGAACATTGTACACCACCATGAGCTCATTGGAGGGAAATGTGGCATATAAACACATTAAATTGAAATCAATCAATCAATTAATTAATTGGTTAATGCATGTGTTTCTGCATTGCAGGCAGCTGCTGTGTTGGGGCATTGTGTCTCACTGCAATCTGAATCAGGATAGGCACCTACCCCAGTTATCCTGGGGCAGGCTATGAGGGTCAGGGGTGTGTTAGCATGAAATCTTGCAATCGTGCAATGGGTTAGCTCAGGGGCACCTGCAGAGGCCCACATCTCTGCAGTTGGGGGTGCTGTGTCAATTCCGGGAGCCATAAGAGCAAACTCCTAGAGACCGAGGGGTCTTCACACACACACCCCCCAATAAAATATTTGAAGGGCCCCCCAAAGCTGATGGGCATTGCCATTTGAACAGTGTGCGTGCACCATGTCATGTGATCAGTTATGCAGGGTGGGACTTATTGCCCTCCTCCCCAATATTTTATTCAAGTTGGGCCCCCTACCTGAAACCTCCTGCCCCTCTTTTCCCCTCTTCTTGCTATTACTACTTATTCACAAGCTATGTTTAAGAGTAGACCCATTGAAATTAATGAACCTCAGCTAATTGGGACGATTAATTTCAATGTGTCTGCTATGAGGATGAAAAGCATTAAAACCCAGAGAGAGAATATGAATGGGTAACTGGATCAGGAGGTTAAGAACATGAGAGAAGAAGAGCCTGCTGGATAAAGGCCAATGGCCCATCTTGTCCAGCACCCTGTTCTTACAGTGGCCAACCAGATGCCTGTGGGAAACCAGCAAGCAGGACTCAAGCACAAGAGCAACTCTCCCCACTTCTGTGGTTTCCAGCAACTGATATTCAGAAGAATTGCTTCCTCTGACTCCATCCTGGCTTGTGGCCATCAATAGCCCTCTCCACTGTAAATTTGTCTCTTCCTCTTTTAAAAGCATCCAAGTTTGTGTCCATCACTGCCTCCTGTGGGAGCAAGTTCCACAGTTTAACTCTTTACTGCATAGACGAGTTCTTCGTTTTATGTGTCCTTAATATTCCCACATTCAGTTTCATTGGATGTCAGTGAGTTCTAGAGTTATGAGAGAGGAAGATAAACTTCCCTCCACTTTTCCCATGCCATGCATAATTTTGCAATCTTACCATGTCACCTCTCACTCACCTTTTCTATAAACTGTCCCAAACACTGTGCAACCTTTCTTCATAGGGGAGTTGCTCCACCCCCTTGATCGTTTCGTTTCGCCTTTTATGAACCTTTTCCAGCTCTACAGTATTCTTTTTGAGGTGAAGTATCCAGAAATGTACACCGTACTCCAAATGCAGATGCATCAAAGATTTGTATAATGACATTATTATACTGGCAGTTTTATTTTCAGTTCTTTTCCTAATAATCCCTAGCATGGGATTTGCCTTTTTCACAGCTGCCACACTCAGCAGCTTCACTGAGCTTGCTCAGGGTGAGCACCTTCTTGTGGGTACCTGGCAATGACCTGTAATTCCATTTTTGCATTCAGATGAGGGAATGTTGTTACTTAGGGCACAAGGCTTTTGATGTTTCATCACCAACCAATGGCCTTCATAATGAGCAGAAGGGATTATCTATAATACTATCCATATTCTCTCCTGGTAATCTTTCTAAAACCCAGGGATCCTCCTTCACTCATGCAATTGCCGAAGTGTATTTCTATGCTAGGTGTCAGAATAAAAAAGGCACTCCCATAATTTCCCTTCTTTTCAGCTGGGTGGGCAAGTCCTTGGGATTTCTGCACAGCAACTCGCTTGTGAACAAGGATTGCTGGGATGTTCCTATAGTGGCTTCCTGAGGAATGGAGCAATATTTTCACGTACCCACTACTAAAACCAGTTTGGAATGTTAGACTCCTTTGTGCACGTGCAGAGTTCTGTCATTATACCACAGCCAGCACAGGGGCTCATTGCCCAAACTAGAAACTGTGACACAAACTGGGTTCAGCACAAAAAAAGCTGTTGTTAGATAGCAGTAGTGCTTATGTCCCCCCCCCCCATATAATTTACATTTTTAGAATGCTACCAACAGTAAGGAAAGAAATTGCAGGCAGGTATTCATAACATGAATACACCAGTATCAACTGGTTACAAGCTATGAAAACCATGAATAAAATATTGAGCTCTGTACTGCCTTGTAGGATCCAGCAACCAGATGCACAAATATAGGATTTGGGACATCTGCCTTGTCAGAAGTACATGTGAAAAGGATCTAGACCAGAAGTTTAACATGAGACAATAGTGTGGTGCAGCAGCAAAAAAGCTAACCCAATTCTAGGCTGATTCAACAGAGTTATAGTGTCTTGATCAAGGGGAAGTAATAGTACCGCTCTACTCTGCCTTGGTCAGACCACACCTGGAGTCCTGTGTCCAATTCTGGGCACCACAATTTACGAAGGATATTGCCAAGCTTGACCATGTACAGAGGAGGGTGACTAAGACGATCAACTCTCTGGAATCCAACTCTGATGCGAGGGATGCTTGAGAAAGTTGGGTATGTTTAGATTGCTAAAAAGAAAACAGAGGAGATACGAGATGCATTTTCAAATAACTGGACGTCACATGCAAGAGGGAGCAAGCTTGTTTCCCCCTGCTCTGGAGGGTGGGACTCAAACCAGTGGATTCCAGCTACAGGAAAGGAGATTCATCTGGAAGAACTTTCTGACAGTAGGAGCTCTTTGACAGTGGAAGGGACTCCCAGAAGAGGTGGTACGCTCTCCTTCCTAGAAGGTTTTTTAGCAGAGGTTGTTGGGGCATCTGTGTGGAATTATTTAGTTGCGATTTCTGCATTGCAGGGAGTTTGACTAGTTGACCCGTGGAATCTCTTTCAACTCTACATTTCTATGTTTCTGTCATTCTGCAGGGCTCAGGATTTTGGGGTTGTAGCGGCGGGTGGGAGGAGGAGAAGAAAGTGACTGAGCTCCATATATAGAGTATTTATAGCGAATGAGAAATTTTACGGTATGTATACGGCAAACTATTGCAGTAATATACATTGGAGCTATAAACGGGAAAACAAAGAGTGGACCGAATAACCAAAATTGTACTGGTTTTTTAATTTTATTTTATTAATACAAGTGTTCTTGCTATTCTTTGCAGGTTACAAGCTTCTGAAGACTTCAGTGGGTTCTCCGAGTAAACCAACAGGTATAGGAGGAAGCTAGCCACATGCACATACACATACAAGCGCGCGCGCACACGCACGCACGCATGCACACAGAGTAACATACACACATGCACAAAAACACACATGCAAAAATAAGGCGCGACTCCTTTAAGAGCTGTCAAGGAATACCACGCTGGAACCTTGGCCCCGCCCCTTTCACCTAAATAGGCGGGGACTAGGCGCTTGACGGGCAGGTAACTTTCCATTCGGACCCACGTGGTTACGCAAGCCTCCTGCCGCAAGGCTCCCCATGCCCCGCCCCGCCGTCCGGGATAGGCCAAGAGTCCTTATTCGGCTCCGCCCCTCTGCAGTGTTTGGACAGCGTTGGGAGGTGGGCCACGCCCCTTCTCCTCTTAACTCCAGCTAGGCTGTCCGGGCTTGTAAGCTTCGCCGGTTGGCCGCGGCTCAGAGTCCGGTAGTGGCCGTATCCATGCAGTGAGGGAGGAATACCCGGCAGGCCGGTGAAAATGATACTCTGCCCCGCTAGCACGGAACATCCCCGCGGAAAACAGTGCCATAGGCTGCAGGTAAGCGGGAGATCCTCTGAGATGCTGGCAGTGACTGTCTTTGCAGGGCTTAAGGAGACCCCCGAGGGAAAGGGGCGTAGAAGTCCCCTCATTTAAAATCACGCTCACTTCGGGCTCACTTCCCGCTTGCACAGCTTAAATGCTGCAGCAGCGGCACGACCAACAAACTCATTCCACAGACCCTCCGCGCTTGCAAATTCCACCACGTCCGTAGAACAACCTCCCCCGAGGTGGCCGGTTTGGGGCGCTGGCGCCGCGTCCGAAGGGGTTCGTTTAAAAGGGATTCTTGTGGCAGCCGGGTCAGAGGAGGGTGCAATTTCTAGAGTAAGCAAAGAGTTCCAAGCCCCGCCGGCGTTTGCTGGCGAGTCAATCGCGCCGGTCGGATGGGGTGCACACGCCCCCTCCTCCAGTCCATTCCTGACAGCGGGTGAATGCTACGGATCCCCGCTTCTCAAAAGCATGCGAGCCGTTGAAGTTGCAGCCGGAACGTGCGTGTTGTGTCCCCCACCTTCCCCCCACAAAAACCCTGCGGTGGACTTTTTCTCTTTAATTGGGGGGGTCCCTGAACGTCGCGCCCCCAGAGTGCCCTTCCCCCACTTGCATTGCTTTCTTGGCGTAGCTGAACCTCCTAAGGGCAGGAGAGCCGGGGGCGGGCGTGGGGCGTAGAAGGCTCTCCGCTGACTCTCAGGATTAGGACCCCTCAGGAAACGGGCGTGCGGGGGGAGAGGCATGGTGCTTGCCGCCCTGCTTCTCCCTCCGCTTCTTCACATCCATCCGGAGCGGCTGTTTGTCCGGTGCGTCCCTGGAGCGCTGCCCGTGCGCGTTCGGCCTCCGCCGCTCTCTTTGTCCTAGTCCGGGCGGCAGAGGCAGGGATGCGGGATGCTGCTGCCGCCGCTTCTTCTTCTTTCTCCTCCTCCGCCTCCCCGCGCTGCCAATCAAAGTTGTTTTTCTCTTTTTCCTCCTGCGTTTCGTCGGTGGTGCGGCTAGGGGGCGCTGCGGCCCGCTCGCTGCGGCGGGGGTGGGTGGGTGGGTGGGTGCATAGATGGATTGGGGGGCGCGCCGGCAGGGAGACAATGGGGCCGCTACCGGGACGGGAGAGTGGGCCGTCACTGGTCCAGCTGCTGCTAAGGCTTCAAGAGGGGGCGTGTTCTTTGGGGTTTCCCCGAGATGTTGCGTTTTGGAAAGCCTTTTTAAAAAGGGAATTCAGGGTTTCTGCACCGCCCTGCAGAGACCACCGCACACTCCCCCATTTTGGTGCTGCTGCTGTCCGTGCTTCTCGTAGTGTTTCACTTTGCTTGGAGGTATAAACCTCTCGCTTCCCCAGGGTGCGCCCCCTTGTTTATAATTCTCCCACTTGAAGATGGAGGTTGGCTGGCTTCTGTGTGTTGGGTGTTTGGGGAGATGGGGGGGCGGGCGAAGAAGCACCCTGGTAAACTGTGCATCCTGCTCCCCCAAAACACGTATCAGCCTATCTCTCTGTTCTCGTTGTTGTTCCCTTGATGGTTAATCTGCCACTTGTTCGAAACAATTCTGTAAAATGATGTTGGAGTGTTTTTTCCCCTCCCTTCACATTGGGTTGTAAGTTTTTCTCAGGGTAGGCACATCGGAATGAATGAACCTAAGTTAGTCAGGGTCATTAATTTTAATGGACTCTTCTCTGAGCAGCACAAGCATTTGTAAGAACCGGTTGGCGTTCATCTGCACCTTGGTTCAAAGAATTTCATCTGTTCCCAAAGCAGAGTGGTGGTGGTCCATCACACTTGCATGCATCTAGCCTGCATCCACACCATACATTTAAAACACATTCCTCCCTCCGCTCCAAAAGGAAAAGGAATGCTGGGAACTGTAGTTTAAGGTGCTGGGAGCTGCAGCTCTTTGAGTGGTGAGTGACAGTTCCCAGGGTTCTCTTTGGGAAGAGGGTGTGCTTTATATGTGTGTTGTATATACAGAAAGAGAGGGCATCTCCAGGACCAATAGCTTACTAGATTACTTATTCATCAGGGAGATGGAGAAGGCGTGTATGGGGGGGGGAGAGCCTAGACCCCTCCTTTCAGGGCATGTTAAAAATAAAGCAGGAGCTGCAGTGAGCTCCCTCTGAACAGGACTCTGGCACAAGACCTCTGCGACTAACTTGCACAGAACTCTGGTGTGTCCAGACCAGGTGGAGTCTCTGAAGTTCCTGAGGCTCGAAGGCCAGGCTTTGGCACTTCCACTGACCCCACTGCTGCATCACTTCCCGGTGTTGCTTTTTCTAATTTTATTTTAGAGTTCAGGAATGTTATTTTAAGGCCCTGTTAGACTCTGAAGGAGTGGGGTACCCCGCCTGGATATGTGAAACTGAGTGATTTTCCACTGTCCCGTCCTCCTTCTCTGCTCTGTCTATTTGCCATGAGTTCCAGCCTCGATGCATATGGGTGAGTGAGGGAGTAGTGGTAGAAAAGCCCCAAAGCCCTGGGTGGGTGGGTGGGTGGGTGGGTCGACTTCCCAGATCTTAAATGGACTGCACAAGACTTGCCTTAATGTTATCCATAGCTCATTGCAGACTGAGAGGGAGAGTTGTTTGTATTGCTGTACAGGCAAGCGATGCTCTTAGGCACCTGCAATTGGTACAGTTTTTGCACTATCTGTTGGGTTAGCTCAAAATCTGTTTATGGGGCTCTGGGTGAGATTTGAGCCTGAGCCTCCCCTGAATGATTATTTAAGTGGGAGGCAGGAGCCTCTCTGGCTTGGAAAGACCAGCTGAAGATTTCAGGGGGTAGGCTGGAGGGTAAAATGCATGTGAACCTGGGCTTTGAGATACAAGGACTTGTAGGAAGGAGCCCTCCATGGCAGAATCACTGATAACAAATGTCTGCTTTGATTAGTTTGTTCAAGGAAGGTATCCAAGGAACCTTGGCTTTCATTAAAAGAAAATAAGTGGGGAGAAATGAGCTTCTAGTCCTAGAGGGTGTAAACTGACCTGTGCAGTGATTGGTGAAATTATCTGTAGGGTTTGGGGGCTGAATCTAGTGTCTTCTGATTGGGAGGGAAGAATTCAGTGATACATTTTCCTCTCCCTTCACTCTTCTCTAGCAAAAATAGATATAACAGAAATTAGTGCAATTAGACTTAATGGTGCATTGCTTCTACATGGTGGCAAAATAAAATAAAAAATGTGTCAGCACCCTTGTATCCCGCTTGTGGGTTTCCCAGTGGTATCTAGCTGGCTGTTGTGAGACACAAAGTGATGGACCCTTGCTCTGGTCCAGCAGCCGGACTCTTATTAAAACATGGCATGCACTTATTTATAGCCCAGAACTGTGTGCAGCCCTGAACCCACAAAGAAAGTGCCCAATTCTAAGTTTTCTTCTAACACCCAGTCAGCTTCCCAGAGAAGGGCATTTTCTCTTTTCTCAGATGATGGGGACACAGTCTCTTTCCACCGAGACCCCATTGCCCCCTACCATATTAAGCAGCAGATTAAGATGCAGTTGCTTTCTCTGGCCAATGGGAATGACTGCTTTTTAGACGTGCTGTTGGGCTGCTTGATCTTTTGATATTGTGATGCTCGGCTTTCTTTAATAATTTGCTGTGTCTGTCGTTGGTTGTATGCTTCTTGTACTGATTTGTGCACTGCAACGGTTACGCACCTGGGAATCTTCGTGTGGTAGAGCATCTCTGTTGCCTGCAGAAGGTCCCAGGTCCAATTCTGGGTCTATCCCAGGAGAACTGCAAAAGGCTCTGGTCTGAAACCTTGGGAAATTGTTCCCAGTCAGTGTGGAGAAGGGGTGGGAAACCTTAGGCCAGGATGTGACCCTCCACTCCTGGTTCTGACCCCTGGAACTCTCCCCATGCTGCTCCCTTCACTGATCTTGCTTCAAATCCAAACTGTTTTGTTTGTTTTTTGCCTAGCTGGAATGTACCCTTGAACTCTCATAATGCTTCTTGGTTTTCTGGATGGAGGATATAGAGGATATTGAGGATTTGGTGAGTGTGTGTAGGATCTAGCCTACCATACAAACGTAAAATTTTCAGTCTTTGCTCCTCTTACTTTTGCTTCTGGCCTCACCCACCTCTGGCATGTGGCCCTTGGGAGATTGCCCAGAAGGGAACGCGGCCCCTGGGCTGCAGAAGGTTCCCGTTGCAGAAGATACTGAGCGACATGGACCACTGGTCTGACTCGGTATGAGGCAGCTTCCAACACCCCTACAAGTTTAATCAGTAATAAAAACAACTCCTGCCTTTGAGACACATTGCGTTCCATGAGCTTGCAATTTCACTTTCTCGCTGCACCTGTCAACCTCTTCTTGTTATCACCCTCTTCTCCTGTTCCCAAAAAGAGCAGCTGGGGGACACAAAGCACCTTTCTCATTCTCCTCCTTCCCCTCCCTCCCCTCCCGCTCCCTCCCCAGGTAGCAAAGATGAGTGCTGGTGACAAAGAGAGGACTTCCCACTTGCTCTTTGTGAAAGCCCTGGCTACCCGCGGGTGCCTCGAAGCAATAAGCCAGCAGATGGGATATCACCCGCAATACCTGGACAGTTTCCTCCGGATGCAACACTACCTACTGCACATGGATGGGCCGCTGCCATTCTACTGCCGCCACTACATCGCCGTCATGGTGAGTGAGGGGGAGCCAGCCCTCAACGTGGCACCTTTGGCTTAAAGGGCCAGGTGCACTCGCACTCCAGGCTCCAGCAAGAGCTTGCTCGGCACCTGCCTGTTGGCACAAGCCAGCCTTTTCCAACCTGTTTGGACTGCATCAGCCCCAGCCAGAACAGGTGTTGTAGTCCAAAACTTCTGGAGTAACCAAAGCTGGTTCCGCTGCCATGCAAACGCTGTGTGTGTGTGTGTTTCATTTGTTTGCTACAGCTGTTGGTCTCACTCAGCCCTTTCACCCCACACTTCCCCCATTTTACGCACCAGTTTGCTGTTATTGGTTTGGAGCTGCTCATAACCTTGTGTTGTCTCTTGTCCGTTGGGTCTGGTGAGGGTTTAAGGGAGGAGGCAAAAGCAACAGGGTCTATGAAAGGCAGGGCCAACTTAATTCTAGGCTTTGTACCTGTCTTCCTCCCTATGAGGATAAGGATGAGGAAGCAGGCAGTCAGTGCCACCCTCTGCACTAGTAAAAAAGGCGGACACATGGGGTCTGGTTGAAGGAAAGCTGAGGTTAGGGAGGCAGTGCCCCACCTGTCCTCATGGACCATCCTCTGCTGCCCAGACCTTTATAGCACTTGTGGAGTGCCTCAGGGGTGCTGCACAACTGGGCATACATACCAGTTGACTTCTTCCCACATTGCCTCCAAAATAGCCTCTATATGAAAAGCACATTGCACTAAACACATTGTTCAAGATGCCTGTCCTCATGGGCCAAGCAGAACAGACTCCCTTGGGGGATTGTAGCCTCTCCTTCTTTGGAGGTTTTTAAGCAGTGGTTGGGTGCTCATCTGTCTTGGATGCTTGAGCTGAGATTCCTGCATTGCAGAGGGTTGGATGAGATGACCCTCAGGGTCCCTTTCAGCACTACGTTTCTATGATTCTGAGTGTATTTAATGTGCCTGTTGCATCTCTTGCAGGCAGCTGCCCGGCACCGGTGTCGATACTTAGTGAATCTACATGCACTGCAGTTCCTGAGGGTGGGTGGTGACCCTCAGTGGCTGAGAGGCTTAGAATACATCCCCCCAAAACTCCAAAGACTCAGCGAGATTAACAAGATCCTGGCACACCAGCCATGGCTCATTGGCAAGGAGCACTTCGAGGTAACACCGTGGGGCTGTGCAGAAGGAATCTAGCAGGGAATGGTGATACGGTTGGGAGTCTCCATTCATCCCCATTGTAAATGCAGCGGAGCCTTTGTGCTCACACCTGCTTCTGCACATGCATTAATAATAATAATTCATTTGACTCAAACTTTTCCATTGCAATACTTTTATTATTTTAATAATATTACTAGGATCATCATTATTAAATCTGTATGCTGCCTAAATTGGCTTTTAAGCAAGTTTACAACTTTAAAACCAACTGCACACAATAAACACACATAATACAAAATACACAATGAAGCAATTCTGTCAAAATGTTAAGATAAATGGCAACCACAACTGAGATACTGGCAAGCGGGTGTGAAGCCTAACTTAAAACAGGCAGCTGGAATAAATTTAAGGGCACAGATTAAATGACAGCTGTGTGAGAGGTTTTCCGTGTCTGGAATGTGGGGTTCCTGGGAACTGAGGCCACTGGCTGCATTCAGAGGTGATTTTCCCCTTCTGTTGCTTCCCTTTCAGAAGCTGCTGCAGATCAGGGAGGAGAGCTGGTCCCTGGCAGAACTGGTCCATGCTGTTGTGCTCCTTGCCCACTACCATGCACTGGCCAGTTTTGCCTTTGGATGTGGCTGTGAACAAGACTTCCCGCCAGACGGCTTGCTGAAGCTCACGCTGCCGGGGAGCCTGTGCTTTTGTGAAGTCAACAATGGCTGCAGCCAGGATGTGTTTCATCACAACCGCAAGAAGGTGCACTTGATGCTCCGGGGGCTGGGAAGGGAGGTTGGGGTATACAGAGAAGTGGGCATGGTGAGAAGGCAGGAATATTCTGTACTTGAAACATGGGATTTGTGGCTCAGTGGTGGAGCATCTGCTTTGCATGCAGAAGGTTGCAGGTTCTATCCCCAGCATCTCTAGGTAGGACTAGAGAAATCCCCGGCCTGAAACCCTGGAGAGCTGCTTCCAGTCAGTGTAGACAATACTTGATGCACCACTGGTCTGACTGATCATCATGACTGTGGTTGGGTGGGGAGGAGCCCTTCTTGGACTGGGAGCCAGCAAAACTCTTTGGTGTTTTCTCCCCCCCCCCGGCCTGCAGTCTATGGATTCCTGTGCGGAGGTGGAGTCTCTACAAGAGCGCATTCACAAGCTGAAAGTGGAGAATGAGGCACGGGAGGAGATGAGAACACCTGAGAGGGAAGAAGGTAATGCCTAAGAAGGGTATTGGACGCTGGTGGATGCCAGTGGTGGCAGCCACTCGTTGGGACTGGTGGGGTGGAAGGCAGGGAGGCCAACAGTAGATGGCACCAGAGCCCATGGCATGGAGAGCCAGCTGCTTCTAGCTTCTACCTCTTCCTCCTCCCTGCTGTGTTTGACAAGGCCAACACTGAGACCAAGGAGGAGGAAGCTGGCAGGCATTGCCATCATCTGGGCTGGGAAAGCTCAGTCTGTAGAACAAGAGGCTCTTAATTGCAGGGGGTTGGACTAGATGACCCTCATGGTCCCTTCCAACTCTACAATTGTATGGTTCTATGACTGGTAGTGAGCATGATGGCAGGCAGGCAGGCGGGGGCAGCTGTAAACAGACTGAGTTCGGTGGGGCACTGCCTGTTTGCCCACATGGACCAACCTCCATTTAGGTAAGGCTGCAGGAGAACATTCTGGGTGGAGACATTTCTGCATGCAGGGAGTGAATGCAGTACTATCATGCATACACACACACACACACACACACACACACACACACACCCTGCTTTTTCTCCAAGGCCCCTCTCCTTTTCCTTTCAACACAGCTTTCTTATTCTTTTTTCTTTTGCTTATATGTACCTGGCTTCCAGCTTGCAATGGTGAAATTTCTGGCACCACAGACATCTCTTGCTTCATTGAAGACCCCAGTTTTGGGTACCAGGATTTTGCTCAGCTTAATGAGAACCAACCACAGATATTCTGTGTGCAGGTACATGCTTATTACATTTTAATTTACACAACCTTTTAATATTTCAACCTCTAAGCAGGTTGCACATGTCAGCTGAAACCCATGCAAAAAACTCAAAATTCTGCATTCCGTACTGCTGCTGCTAATGGTAATAATAATGACAATGATAAATTCCACATTTTGAGTCACCTAATTCAGCAACAATGAATTTCATAGCAAAATAAACACAAGTAGTAAAAACCACAAAATATGTGGAATATCAAGACACAGCATCAATCTACAATGCAATTGCAGAATATTTCTAGAAAAATTTCACAAATGTTACAAAGTTGCTGCGTTAAAGTGGCTGGGATTGAGTGGTGGTGATCCCCCTGAAAATGTCCTGCACAGTTGCGGGGGACAGAATCGGCACAGAAACCTTGCTGGTCCTCCCCAGCCTGCATTGGGGGCTGCTGGTGGCACCCTCCCTCTGCCTTTCCTTATCTGTCCTTTCTCTCGACCCACCTTTTATCTTCTTTTCTTTTTGGCAGGATTACTCCTGGGCAGACCACGGCTTCTCACTGGTGAACAGGTTGTACACTGACATCGGGTTTCTGCTAGACGACAAGTTCCAAAAGGTCCAAAAGCTCCAGAGCTGTGTGCTGGCAAAGCGGCAGGGCTGTGACCCAGCCACGTTCAAGCGCAGCGTGTGGAACCACGTCCACTCCATGTTCGGCATCAGGTAGCCACTTCCTTCGCCCGTCTCTCCTGTGCTCTGTGGGGGACCAAGCTCTTGTCCAAAAACACCCCCTGCCCGTCCCTGAGCAGTGTGGAACTGATGCATGGGGGGCTTTAGAAAGCAAGCCAGGCCACATACTGTGCGGAACGCAGGGCTGGATTAACCACTAAGCAAAATAAGCACCTGTTTAGGGCATCGGGGGAAGGGAGGCACCACATAAATTTTCCATTACTGGATTTACTGCCATGGACCATACGGTGCAGCTGAACGAGGTTCCACAAAAAAGCCTCTCACAATAAATGAAAATATCGCGCGCGCGCACACACACACACACACACACGGTAATAAAATAGCAATAATAGAGATTAATAATATACAGTTATTGTTTATATTCTGAATTAGATATATATGGAGGCACTACAGCCTAGCATGAGGAATCATCCCATTTCTCCCCACTAAGCCTAGTCTCTGCTGCACCCATTTAAAGCAAGACTTGGGGAGGTTTTTTTCAGCCCAACGTAGTGGATGAGGTCAGAGGCAACAGCAGGCTGAGCAATGGATGTGATACTTACCTTCTATAGAGCAGGCTACGTTCCGACCACCTGGGAATCTGCCTTGTACCGGAGTCACACCTGTTGGTCCATGTAACTCAGTGTTGGCAACTCTGACTGGGTACAGCTCTCCAGAGTATCAGACAGGGAGTGCAATTCACAGCCTTACTTGGCGATGCCAGGGAAGTGAGTTTGGGATGTTCTGCATGCAAGGCAGGTTCTCTACCGCTGAGCCGCAGTCCTTCCTCAAAGCAAAACCCTGAGGTTTCTGCATCCTGCCACACACCCTTTCAAAATCTCCCCCACCCAGGAGAGGCAGTGTAGCTGATCAGGGAGACATGCCAGGCAGGGAAAAGCACCCGAGGAGGGTGCATGGTACATTCTATGGATCTGGGCAAGATCCCTGCAGGAAAGGATTTGGAGCTTCTGTTTCCTGCTTCTGCTGTATGTGTGTATGTTCAGGAACTGGAGAGCCAGCTGCCTTTCAGAGACAGGAGGGTTTGGACCAGATCATTCTCCTGGGCTCCGGCAAATGTTTCGTTTTAGTTTCCTAAGCTTCAGCTGAGGAGGAAGCAGGCAGAATTCCTGTTCGCCTAGGGCATCTTGGAATCTGGCTTGAAACTGACATGTGTTTAGGGTGAGAGAAACTATTCTGGTTGCCAGCTCCTGTGTAACTGCTGTTCTATTCCAGGTATGACGATTACGACTACTCAGAGGTGAACCAGCTCCTGGAACAGACGCTCAAGCTCTACATACAAACTGTGACTTGCACCCCAGAGAAGTTGGATCAGGAGACGTTCACGCACTTTTGGAAGCAGTTCAAGCACAGCGAAAAGGTTAGAGATAGCAGGATTTGTGAGTGGATGGAGGACAGAGGTGTGGTGGTCCAGGGATTGCAGGGGTTGAAGACCCATTACGGTTTCTACCTCAGGGTCCTGAAGCTGCCCAGTCTCATGAAAGGGGAGCTTTTGGGCCACTGAGAAAATGTCTTCTCTCCCTTTGTACTGACTGGAGCCCATTGGGAGTGAAAGGAGGTGAGTTCAGCCACTGAGGATGGTCTCCCAGGGTCACTCTGGAGGAGGAGCATCAGAAGAACACCAAGGAGAAGTTGTTCTCCATGCTCCAAAGCTGAGCATTTAATAACACTGAAAAAACAAGGTGCTGAAAAAACCACTTAAATTCAAAAGAAGATACCGGAGCACTCCAAATCATTTGCTTATGTACATGCACAGAAAATAGCAGATCTAGCCGAGAGGCAACACATGGAGATACAATGCATCTCTAATTGCTTTTACTGCATAATTATAAGATCATTGTATAATCGTAGAAGGGGGTGGGGTGTGTCTGTGACTGTCTGTGACTATCCTGAAGGGATCCTGGCACTTCTGAATTTGCCACCTTATTACTGGTGGAGAATGTGTATGTGTCTTGGGCAAAGGGGTATCAGTCTGCTCCTTGGTGATGCCCAAGCTGTGTCCATTTTACAGGCAATAGTAACAGCATCAAAACCACATCTCCAATGGTGAATTGTTGAGGGGGGTGGGTGAGATGCCCTCTCTTTTTGGAGCATCATGGTAATGTGGTGCAGGCAGTTCTCGCTCAGCTGATGTTTGCAATCCTCTTCACTTGCAGTGAATTCAGAATGCTCCCCCACCAAAAAAAATACCCTGTTAGAATGGCAGCTGGGAAATTGTTCTGCCTAAAATATTTGTTTTCTCTCCTTGCCCCACCACTCCAACATACTTGTCAGTTATTAAGATGAGGAAAGAAGATACTGCATTTGAAAATTTTTAAGGGGAAGAGGAAAGTGTGGTGAAATTCTCATCCGTAGGGGGCAGGGGCTTTGTCTTCTGTACTTCACTTCTAAGGTGCCCAAGGCTCTGTGTGTATGTTGGTCGTCTCTTCTTTCATTCTACAAACCATCACACTCCAGCAGCTTGAACTCTGCAGCACCCCTGGATGCCCCCATGCCCATTAAAGCCCTCAGAGAGACACCACAAGAACTCGCCCTTTGGGGCTTTTTTCCAGATTAGGAGGCATGGGCAGCCAGAGAGGCTGCAGAATGATTTGCTGGAAAATAAAACATGCGCAATATACCCCTCTTGCAATGAATAAGCAAGCTCATAACCCAACAGGCACAGTCTGCTTAAAGACATCTTTATGAGGCAAAAGGACAGAGCTAGAAAACTTTTGAGAAACTGGAGGAGAGATTCCAGCACGGTGCTGGCCTTGACAGAGATTTGGACAAGGAGTGTTACATGCACTTTTTGGTCCCCACCAATATGCAGACCCTGCCCTGCTTTTTAATTGAGTGAGCTTTGCTTATGTGCCCATAGTTCTGTGTGTTCTACTGCCGGCTGTGTTCTTTTTTTTTTTGCCCTGCAAAATCAGCCACCTGCTTTGCAACCTGAGGATCTAACCACCTTGCTTGGCAAAGACATTAATCTCTGCTGCTGCTGCCTTTTCAAAGAAGTTGGCTGGCCCTGTGTATTTTTAAGACCCTGGGGGAATTGGATGTCCATGAATCATTTTCTGTACCAAATGCCAGGTTGTTAGAGAGTTTTTTTAAAAAAAAAACAAAAACTTTTATATCAAGACTGCAGGATTGAGGGCACTGGAGAGAAGGAGGTTGGGTTTCTCTCCTCTCTCCTCTCTTCTCTCCCCCAACCCACCCCTTCCTAAGTGAGCAATTTAATGTGTCCCAACACAGGAGGGAGGGATTACAAACAATGGTTTGATTAATTTAATAGGCTGTGCTGATCTTGATTTACCACACTTAATTAAAAGTTGATGTGCTCAACCACTGAGCTTATGGCAGGTCCAATAGCTTAGAGAGCTTGGTGGATAGAGAGTATTATGTACATGCAGAAGGTCCCAGGTTCAATCTACATCTACTGCAGAAGGTTGAGCAGCAAGACTGCGGAAACTGCTCTGCTTGAGGTCTTGGGAGTCTGCTGCTGCCAATGCTGCTGCTGTTGAGAATGCTAGGCTAGATGGACCAGCACTCAAATAACTCTGTACTGGACAGTTTCATATGTTTCTGTCCAATCACAGTTAAATGGTGCAGGAGAGATGTTCTAGAGGTGGGCTGGGTGAACTTGAGAACCCACCTGGATCTGTCCCAAAGCCTCCCTAGTCTAGCACGGTGGCTGACCAGATGCCTTAATGGGAAGCCCGCAAGCAGATGGTGAAAGCACTCTCTCTAGCAGCAGTTCTCAGCAGCTGGAATTTAGAGGCATACGGCCTCCAACTGTAGAGGGAGACAGTAGCCACCATTGGTAGTTTGGTGCTCCAATGAGTTTCTTAAAACACTATAACTTGTGAATGAACTCCAATGGAGATGAATTTTTGAAGATTCAGGATGCATGAAAAATGGAAGAGAACTGTTGAGCTAATGTTCTGTTTGTGTGATTCCCACAGGCATCTTATTGGCCACTGGCCTGCTCCAACAAGCTCCCATGTACTTAACCCTTGCCCAGTCAGGCTTCTTTCTCCTCTAACCATCCCTTTTTCTTCTTCTCCTTTTTAGGTCCACATGAACCTTCTCATCCTGGAAGCCCGGCTGCAGGCAGAGTTGCTCTATGCCCTTCGAGCCATCACTCAGTACATGGTCTCCTAGAGGGCTGCAGGCGAGCACCCCCTGGACTCTGGCTCATGCACCATGCCATTTCAGCGACTTCAGTTACTTGATAGCTTTCCCTTCCCCTCTTAAGATGTGAAGAGAAAGATGCGCCTTTCCTCCCAGCGGTCCTCTGTTGTCTTGTGCAATTGCTGAGCTCTGAGGATCTGGGAGAAAGTATTGGGTCAGATGGCTGGCTGCGTGCAAGGGTGTTTTCTATCCAACAGCTTTTGGAGCCATTTCTGTCCACACAACCCTTTTGCAGACAGGTGTGTGCTGCAAAGGGTGTGGAAAGCCACATGGTGGCTAGATGTTTTTAATGGGGATGGGTGGGGTCGTCATTGCAATTCATTGTTGGTCCAGTTGTAGCAGCTCTTACTGAGTTTCTGGCGTCCTTTACAGTATTAGAGGACCCTTTCCTTGCCTTGTGCCATTCCTGCTGCTCATAATTGTGCCAATGTCTTAGCCCACTTTGGGTCTTGAATGTTCTGTCAGTTGGGGTGGTCGGTGGCTTTAAGCCAAACTTGTGGAAAAGATAAGTCCCTGGACTTTGAGGGAAGGACTTTCTTGCTTCCTACTGGTCCAGGGGGGAGGAGGTCTGCAGCAGCCTTCTTTAACCTGGCATGCCCTCTGAATGTTTGCTGTACTACAACTCCCATCATTCCTCTGACTGCTGGCCATATTTACAAGAGCTGATGGGAGTTGGAGTCTAATGATGGTGGGAAAGCACCAGGTGGGCCTGCAGTGCTTCTTCCCGTGAGAGAATTCCACTCCATTACTCTTTCTAGAGTTGCCCTCAATGGTCATTTCCTGGCCTCCACTTCTGCCCTTTTTTATATTCCCAAAGTTGTACCAGTTTTTCAGCCTGCCTCCCGGCCACCCCAGCTGTCCCAATTGCTTCCCCTTCCTGAAGTCTGATTTCATGGCTGCCTAGAAAGAGGGCTGTGACTCCCCAGCACCTTTTGGCTTTGGTTGTAGCAAAGCTACAGAGATTCCACAGATTCCCACCTTGCACTCCTGAACACTTTCACTCATTGCCCAAGGTGGGTTTCCTCCAATACGTATCCCCTTATTTTTTACCCCCTTCCAAGGAGCACAGTCTGATGCTGGGAGCTGGTTCTGGGTGGGTCTCCCTGTAATCTATAAATGCTCTTGCTAAGATTTCCCCACCACCGAGCCAGGAGGGCTGGGGTCCCGTTATAATGCTGGCAAATGCCACTCTGGAAACACAGCAAGCCCACTCTCCTTACTGGCACAAGGCGCTACGGTCACCCTTCATTTGGGCAGTTGTGCATGCTTGTTATATATGTGGAGCACTGTGCACACCCTGCACCTTTTGGGAGACTCTCACTTTGTGCAAGGCAGGATGGTGGGGAGTTTGCGGTGGAGAGATGCTGGTGGGAAGGGACCATTAAGAGCTGAAGACATCAGGGAGGTCAGGAGCTGGCTCAGTGCACACAGCGGCAGCTGACCTGTTTACTGTGTAAATGATTTTTTTGTGGGGGGGGGGGGGAACAGAACATCATGTGGGAAAGAGAGTAAAAGCCTATTTTTGCTATAAATATACTTGTTCGACACTGCACTGAGTCTTTCTTGTCTTTCTTTGCGGGGGGGGGGGTGATGGAGGGGTGTCTTAAACTGCAGTATGTTGTATGCCGAAAGCCTGGCAAAGACAGCTTTGTTGCTCCTCCCTCTACAGTTGGTGTGGTGTTTTATTTCCAAAAAGTGTTGGCAAAACTTTGCCCTGGAATCCATTTGCAGTGTTGGGACTCCGTTCTGGAAATGCAAGATTAATTTTAAAAAGAGGAGAGAGAAGAGTTTATGTGATGCTGCCACTCTTGAAAGTTGAGTGGGTCTCAGCCTCGTCAATACCTGGATGGGAAATTAGCTTCTTAATTGGGGCTGAAAGCCACGGAAGAACTTTGAGTAAAGTGTTTTTGTTGTTCCTCGTAATAAATGCTTTTTGTCCCTTGGCCAGTTCACCCTTATCTTTGGCCATTTTTAATGTCCACTCAAGAAACAACGTAGAAGTGGGGGTACATCACTAGGAGAAGGCTTGATTGTTGACTCCTGAATGGTGGTGGTAGATTTCTGCCAGGTAATGCAGCATGCTCCCTTTTCCAGAAGAAGGCTCCAGCATTTTGGGATGTAATTCATGGGCATCTGCAAGGATTCTTCTTGGTGGAAAGTAAAATACTGACATATTGGCTAGTTATTCTCCAAAAAATTCAAAAGAATGGCCCTTGTCCATTTCCTCCCCTCATGTCTCAAGTTGTACAGGTGTTAGGCAACATTTGGAAAACAATATTTATACCCCACCTATCTAGCTGGGTTTCCCCAGCCACTCTGGGCAGCTTACAGCAAATAGAAAATTGTTTCCTTCAGGGTTGCCTTCAGATGTCCTCTGAAAGGCAGATAGTTGTTCATTTCCTTGACATCTGACGGGAGGGCGTTCCACAGGGCAGGCACCACTGCCAAGAAGGCCCTCTGCCTGACTCCTTGTAACCTTGCAGTGAGGGAACCACCAGGAGGCCCTCAGAGGTGAACGATGTGGGTGGAGACACTCCTTCTGGTATACTGGGCTGAGGCCATTTAGGGCTTTAAAGGTCAGCACCAACACTTTGAATTGTGCTCGGAAACATACTGGGAGCCAGTGTAGGTCTTTCAGGACCGGTGTTATATTGTCTCGGTGGCTACTCCCAGTCACCAGTCTAGCTGCCGTATTCTGGATTAATTGTAGTTTCCGGGTCACCTTCAAAGGTAGCCCCACCTAGAGCGCATTGCAGTAGTCCAAGCAGGAGATAACCAGAGCATGCACCACTCTGGCGAGACACTCTGTGGGCAGGGAGGGTCTCAGCCTGCGTACCAGTTGGAGCTGGTAGACAGCTGCCCTGGACCCATAATTGACCTGTGCCTCCATATATAGCTGTGAGTCCAGAATGACTCCCAGGCTGTGCACCTGGTCCTTCAGGGGCACAGTTGCCCCATTCAGGACCAAAACAAAACAAAAAACCCAAAATTGGAAACTATTTTAAAACATTTAAAAACATGAAGTATTTTTGACATTTGCCCCAACCCCAGAGTTTGTTCCGGTGAGTCTGAGCTCTTCAGCACTCGCAACAGGGCAATGTCCCTCTGGTCTCCCAGGAGTCTTTGAAGCAGAGTGAATCTGGTCCCCACCCCCTTAGCCAGGTGGGAAAAGGCCTTGCAGGGAGTGGTCTTCAGCACTCACAGCTGGGCAGCGTACAGTGGAAGCACTACATTTCCACTTTAAACAGCCATGGATCCTCCCCCAAGTATTCTGGGAACTGTAGTTCATTAAGGTGCTGAGTGTTGGTAGGAGACCACCAAGGCCCCTCAGGGAGCTACAATTCCCAGAGCGGTTTAACAAATCAATGCCTCTTCCCAGGGAACTCTGGGAACTGTACCTCTGTGTGAGGACTAGGAGGTTTCCAAACAACTATTGGCACCCTTAACAAACTAGAGCTCCCAGGATTCTCTGGCTGAGGCCATGGCTGTTTAAAGTGGTATCATCAAGTTTTCAATGTATGGTATGAATGTGCCCATTCTCTCCTCTTCCTCTTTCTTCCTCTCTCTCTATCCCTCTCTCTCTAAATGAAGACAGGGAATCTGGAGATTATAATCCATGTTGGGGATGGAGAAGACCTGCCTCCCATGGCATTCCATCTCTGTTTCACATGGTAGACCATTAGCTAGCTTATTACAAATAAAAACGAAGAATACATTTTCCTGTAACATTTTTATTCATACAAAGTATTTCTAGGCCCTCTCTTCATCAAAAGGATTCTAGGGTAATATATATTTATATATGAATGAAATTAACTTGTGTATCATAAGTGAGCATAGAAATGAAATACATCAAGGCAAAACAGAATGGAACTCAATTCAAAAATCATCCACTATCTAAAATGCCTAGGAAAACAGAAAGATCTTCACCTGGGCCAGTGCTTCTAATCCCAATGTATGTCTCTTTGTGAAGGCCATTCCAATGCTGGGATAGCCTACCACTACCAAAAGGATGTTCTTGGGATAGGGTCTTTCCAGAAGGCCTTGGAAGATGGGTAAACTGGCATGGGAAGAAGCTCTTTTTCCAGGCATAAATCAGTTCTAAAATAGACATATATATGCCAAATTTGGGTAGGCTTACTTAACCAAAACCATTTTTTAAAAAAGGTAAAGGACCCCTGACAGTTAAGTCCAGTTGCGAACGACTCTGGGGTTGCGGTGCTCATCTTACTTTACTGGCCGAGGGAGCCAATATTTGTCCACAGACAGTTTTCCGAGTCATGCGGCCAGCATGACTAAGCCGCTTCTGGCGAAGCAGAGCAGCGCATGGAAACACCGTTTACCTTCCCGCTGGAGTGGTACCTATTTATCTACTTGCACTTGATGTGCTTTCGAACTGCAGGAGCAGGGACCAAGCAACGGGAGCTCACCCCGTCGCGGGCTTTCGAACCGCTGACCTTCTGATCAGCAAGCCCTAGGCTCAGTGGTTTAGACCACAGCGCCACCCACATCCAAAACCATGTTTAGCAGCTGCCAAAAACAGAACAGTGAAGTTTTAATGGGCAGGGGGTTCCAAAGTATTCATTACCATGCTGAAGGATAAGCATCAGTCTGCTTAGCTGAACCAGCTGACTTCTCTCCCTCCTGTTAGGAAAAGGCTTTGTAGGTAGGCAAAGTTTGGGCTACCAATGTTCTCTTCATCCCTGCCCCCTATAATTATGTTGACAGATCTCCCCACTAACAACCAAAGCAAGGTTGGTGACAAAATAAAAGTGCTATTCTTGGAAGTTTCTCAAGCCAACCACCTGCCCTGAGGCTGAGAACAACCCAAGTTGCATCTCCTAAAAGCTGCCCTTTCCCACAGGGTCATGATTGCTTCCTTCAACTACTTTGCATTTGTCTGTGATGATGACTAAAAGCTCCTAATGGAGAATCCTGCATGTTTCATGCAGCAGTTCCCTATTTTCTATGGGGCAGAAAATAACACTGTTGAGTATTAATGTGAGTTTGTTACATAGCTAGGCTGGAGATAAAGCCACTCATTGGGAAGGTTTTGGTAAATCTTTAACAAAAAGAGGGCCTGAAAGCAGAACGATTTCCTTAAAGCAGGAAGGAAGAGGTGTGTGGGTGGTGTATATTTTGCTTCAAAAATGTTGATTCAGCATCCAGCATCTCCGTGATTTCCACTGAATGCCAAATATTGATTCTGCTTCTGCTGTCAGAAATGGTTTTTTTAAAAAACAACACTTCTGCACCAGACCAATGATCAAACTTGGCCTGCAGCCTCTTGCCACCGAGATGTCCATGGAAATACAAGAAGTATTGCATGAATGGGGGGCGGGGGGGCAGGATGTCCCTAAAAAACCCAAAAATTGTTGGTTGGTTGGGTTGGGTAAAGGAAAAACATAAGATAAAATAGAAAGGAATTCTCAGGATGCCTAAGTACTTTTTTGGTCCAAGTACTCTTCAGCGAGAGAGCCATAGTAGAGATTTAATATCACAAAACATGCAACAAAGTAAAATGTGGAAATATAGCCTGTTCGACCTTTAAAATATCCCCTTCTAAGTTACTTCCAAATTTCCCCACCTTCCTTAGCATAGAAAGAGACCACACGTTTGGTAAGTTAAAAATGGCTTACTTACAAACTTTTCCAAGGCCAGATTCATGTGCTTTTCCATACAGCAACAAGACAGGCAGCATAACTTAGGTTCCAAAAATGGTAAATGTTTTTAAATCATTTGTATAATAACACAAAGATGGATTGCTTACACCATGCAGTCTAAGCTTGGAGAATCCAAGCACCTGGTAGACTGTGCTATTTTTTTAAATTTAAAAAAGAGGCGCCACTAACTCCCTTGTTCTCTTAGAATGGCAATGGCACCCACCTGAGAGGTGCCAGAACTGAGTTCTGGTGGGTTCGTGCTGAAAATAAGCCCTGCTGGCAGGGGTCACATGATGGAATGTGGGGGGTTGAAGAGTTTGGTTTCCCTTCCTCCCAAGGTGGGGAGAATGACCTCCTTAAACCTGGTAGGACAGCTTACTCTGTGGTCTTAACCCCTTCATGCATTAATTAGACTTCAGCATGTTGGTTATATGTATGAGGCTGATTTATCCCACAAAACCTTCACAGCAACCCTGTAAGATAAATTAGACTAGTTCCCAAACCTTTTCAGTCCCACCCCCTTTTGGTTCCATAAACTCACCCCCAATGCCCCATCCCATACCTCATAAGAAGCATTATTCAGAATAGCCTATTGCACAGCCCAGTAAGGAAGTTAATAACGCAATAAAATTCAGAACCGTAACAATTGTTTATTTATTAAAAATCTAATTAAAACTGTTTAGTTTAATTAAGTCAACAAAACTGATGAACTTAATCCAGTGATATTAGCTTTTCCTGCTACCCCCTTGCCTCATAGCACACATCCCTCCCCCAGCTAATCCCACCACCCACTTTGGGAACCCCTGAGTTGGGCTAAGAGAGATTGACCTGCCCAAGGTCACCCAGACACCTTTGTGAGCGAGTGGGAATGAAATCTGTGTCTACCCAGTT